TGGCCACCCCTACAGTACATCACCCATAGAGAGGCAGAGAGAGTGTGGCCACATATTTTTCTCCCTTCCTCCTCAAATCCAGCCTTCCCTGTCTCCTCCAACCTGTTTGCCTGCACCCCCCCCCGCTTCATCCCTCCCCCCACCTCCGTTAACCATCCCTGGGATATTGCGTCATGAGCACTCAGTTCCAAATTAACAGATTGCAGAGAGTCATGAAGGATAGCAGAGGATATGAGCGGCGAGGAAGGGGGGGGGAGAGGGAGAGAGAGCGGGGGACCGGAGTTTCCATGACGACCGCACAGGATTCCTGCGTGTCGAAACGGATGTGTGCGTCTGCGTGTTGGTTCAAGGCTTGCACGGTGGGGAGACACCGTCCGAGACTCTTTTTTTTTGTTCTCCCTTTCCTCTAAACAAGAAAGAATGAGCATGCCTCCCACGTAATACAGTGCATTCACACACCATTCACACTGTGGGGAAACATATGGCGTTATCACCATGTCATACTCTCTTTCACAGCCAGATAAGGTGTTTGTGAGGGGATGGCAAGTACAGAGGAATTACAACATGGCCTGGTGAGCCTTCAGTGTGGAGGCTGAGAGGGAATGCTTGTTGCTAGACATCTGTACTATCTGTCCTTTTTTGGTGCAAAGAGAGGGGAATCGGAGCACATTTTAGATGGTGGAAGAAAGAGCCTTAAAGGGGCCATATTATGCTCCTTTTCAGGTTCATATTTGTATTCTGTGCCTCTACATTAACATGTTTCCATGCTTTAATGTTCAAACAGCTCTTTATTTTTCTCATACTGCCTGTGCTGCAGCACCTCTTTTCACCCTCTGTCTGAGACCAGAGCCCAGTCTGCTCTGATTGGTTAGCTGGCCGGCTCTGTTTTGATTGGTCAACCGCTTAGAGATAACTCGACCCTTAGCCTATTACGTCCAATGTTTTGGAGTGCTAGCCAATAGAAGTGATGTCATTATGGTACAGAAGTAGACAAAGGATTCCAATTGAGGCTAAGAAGAGAAAAAGGTGACCAATCAAGAGGCTGTCAGACAAGAGTGCATTTCTGACTTGTTTGGCTGTGTAGGCAAAGTTGTTGAATCACTAGTTTTAGATCATTAGTAATGTAAACATAACAAATGCATGTTTAAAGCTGTATCGATGACAGCAGTGTATAACTGAGCAGAACTCATTATAGTGTTCTTTCAGAAAAGGTTTCAATCAACTGCAGAGATTTCCACTTGGCTCAATTACCCTGAGTAGTTTACATTTGATTTGAAAATTGATAAAAAAAGATAATAACAATAAACATTGTAGTGAGCAACTTAAGGTGGACATATGCTAACTTGAAAAGGTGGCCCCGAGTAACGAGAGAAGTTGCTAAGAAGTGAAATGGAGGATATGGGGGCTCTAGGGTGCTGGAACAGCAGCAGTCATCCTGCTGGGCCGGCTGACTCCAGCTGAGCGTTCTGATTGGATTATTAGCAGGACAGTGACACCTCCGTGATCATGGCGAGTGACGACGGACCTCGCCACGTCTCTTTTTCTCTATCTACTTTCTTATTCAATATGTGATCCTCAAATTTTCTAAAAATTTGAAATCTTACGAACTAAAGTGGAACATTTGTAAGAATGCTCGGGTCTTTTAAGTAACAGCTACAATTGTATGGAGATAATATAACAAGGATTGTCAAAACTATGGAAGATGATAAGGGTCAGGCGAATCAGAGTAGGAGCAGAACTTTTTGATTTTAATCTACATTTATTCGAGAATAAATAAAACATGTAGAGAATAAGGTCAAATGTTCTGGTAATGCTCAAGGTTTAAACTTGACTTTATTCTTAATTCATATTATTTCTAACTCTTTTTCATCAATAAAAACATGATTTATATTTTCTTTTTACTTGCCATGAATACTAAATGTTAAATGTAAAATGTTGTTCTCATCATTTGTAATTTATTCTTGACATTTCAAAATAATTCAACAATATAACGTAATTCTAGAAATACAGAACAAAAAAATGTTCTGCCTCTGATTTATATTTTCTTGTCATGTGTGGCACAAAGAAAGTTCACCTTTATTCTCGAGAAGACCAACACATCTTTCTCAAATGTTTTCTCCTTATGATTGTCTCTAATTTTCTAAACAGCAGTTAGTATCCAACTTTAGTAACGGAGATATTGTACAACAGCTAGTTTAAAGTTTGGTATATCACATTCATTTGTCCACACACACACACACACACACACACACTAGCGTTACAGCGAGCCGCTGGGCTCTCAGGGTCTCCACCAAGGATCGTTATAGCTGTCCATTAGTGGCTGCTGAGCCCAATGGAGAAAGTGGGTCAGAACTGTGTGAGAGAGAAAGTATGTTGTATCTTCCTCCCTCTGAACACACACGCGCGCCATGACACACAACATAAGTATTTCTATATTAGCCCTGTCCTGATTTTGAATACCCATCAGCAACCAGAGGAACTTTCTACATCCTGTTTTCCAGTCCATCACGATTTCAATGTTTTGTATCCGTCTGCTGTTGTTTACACCCATCCATGGACAAAATGACTAATATGGGGTATTCATGTGAGATTATTCAACAACACTTTGCCTCAAATATAATTTTGGGTGAATGCTGAATGGACTCCATTCAGCATAGAGAATGAATTACGAAAGACGAGAGCTTTTACAATGGTTTATATTCATTACACAGAAAAAGATGGTATCAGAGCTGCCACGCAAGGCCAATGACCCGGGTTCAATGTTTTGCTCAAGGACATTTCCAAAGGCTATTAGACCTTTATTGGATACAATAAGATGTCACAAGAGCGTCTGATTATCAAATGATAATGTTGTTTTGTCATATTAGTTAAAAAAGCACATCCTCCCACACAATGTATCCTTAACTTTGGTTAGTGTTGCAGCACTGTGTTACAAACATAACCCTGGGCTCTTTCTGCTAACTTCCTCCAGAGATGTGTCCTCTGACAGCCCTTTGCATATTTTGCATATTAATGAGTGTCGCTGCAGGAGACGGTTGATTACTATGTAATAGCCTTTCCTCGGGAGGGAATTCAATCTGCCAATGCCCGGATGTCGATTAAGGGGAGTGATTGCGACAGCGGGAGAGGTGATGGATAATCAGTTCCATTTTTGTGGGAAGCTACGGTTGCTAACATCCATTTTTTTCCATGCTGCACTTTAAGAGTGGGCGTTTATGGGTTTGTTTCCAACAGAACATTTCTGATTTATGCAAGTCTTTCTAAAAAACATGACCTCATTTATGGTAAATGTGCACTATACTCTTCATTTGACAACAAGATGAAAAACATGACAGGAGGATAACACCGGAGTCTCATTGGCAAGCAGAGAGCAATTTATATTAAAGGGTTTTGTAAATATTATTATGATAAATGTCTATTGCCTTTTTTCTCTTCTTAAATACTTTTCCTTGTTGATTTTGCAAATGGAGCTGTTGGGATGCGAGAAACATTTCATACTTTTAATAAAGTATCCCATTGTTCTGCACCGTATCATATCGTAGTAGTAACAGACATTTATGCTTTTAATAGAACATGCTATCAAGTTGATTTGATGTACCTTATTGGTAACCCAAAATGGTGATGTTCTTTCCCTCCGGTTGGTTTCTAGGATCTTCCTCAAGGACACATCGGGATCAAATAGGGGAACTCCGACTGGGTGAGATCTCACTACACACCGGTCAATCTGCTCTCCCTGTTATATTATTCTGCTGCCATGCTATGCAGATAACACCTCCATTGACAGCAATACAGCCACGCTGTATTTGTCATTCTTGCAGAAGAGTACATTACATATTTGCAATTATTCATACTGTATTCTGCATTGAAGTAATGCTTGCCAGGTCTCAGCCATTACAGAGATGCAATGCGCAGAAGCCCATTTCTGCTGGTAAAATACATGTGATTAATAATTAATTAAAGAAAGTTTATCATTATTTTGAGATATTTTGTCATTATTTCCATCACATTGGCGGACATGGGCTTCCATAGACAGCAGTCAGTGGCTCAGGTGTGTAAAGCTTGCGTATTAATACTGCCACACTAGTGCTATATTAATGATGAACACTGGGATGCAAAGATATTCTTACCATGCTCTCCAGCTGCACAAGCGTCCTACAATGACAGTCACAATGACAATGTTGGGAACTGTGCTGCTAAAATAGGAAAAGCCCTCATGCTCCTGAATGCATCCACTTCACAGTAAACCCACTTATGTATATGCAGTATAGCAGAGTTGCATTAGTGTAATTACATCCTGACTGTTCTACAAGGCCACTATTTAATTATATACAGCCAAATAACTAGCATACTGTATGCAACCACAAAGAGTAGGGCATGTATTGGTATTCAAACACAGTCTGATAACAGCATTAATATTGAATAACACAACTATTTGTTTTGCATTTGAAGGTCATCCAAAAAGTGCTAGAGCCATATCTCAGTAAACCTGGGCCACATCGCCGCCTAGTGGTGTTTACATGAACAACTACAGGACAATTCAGTCACATTAAACCAAAATGATGTTTCCTGTAACTGCTTATGAAACAAATCTATATAAAGGTCAACACTCTAATGAAGTTAAATACTGACCTAAGTGTAAAATCCATAAATTCATTCTAAGTAGCCGGACCAACAAACCAAATAAAGGTCTTATGATATGCATTTAAATTCTTTAAAAAAGCAAGACGTTTGTTGCTGGTCACCATGTGTCGCCACAGCAGTTCATACTAAGGGGAACAGTCTTATTTAGAATTGTTTTTGCACATGCAATGCATGAAAGACATGCTGAGCCGAGCACCCTGACAGTGAACCTGCCATGCAACAGCCCAGGAACTTAAAAAGAGCGCTATGGTGAGAATGTGATGGAGTTCATGAAAAACATCAGAGTGTACAGTGATCAACAAACACTTCACACGACAAGAGATATTTCACATTGAAGTTTTCCTAAATAAGCGCCTTACCTTCGGCCTTTCATCCAAGATTTGCTGGCGGTTATCCTTTTGCTTCTCCAGTAGTCTCTCGTGTCTCTTACTCTGCGCGTCTTCCAGCTACACACACACACATACCATCAGGGCTTTGCATGTCATCATTAAAACATATAACTGTAGACACACATGTTTACTTTTGTAGGTAGTGGTGAATCATAGAAACACATATTAATGTTTTTTTTGAGTAAATCACATGACTTTTAACTGTAATTTCTTTCAGAATAATTGCAGGGGATGATTATCAAATACAAATTCTCTATCATATTAGAGCCGCTCTTACCCGTTTAATATACTGCACCACCTCATTGACAAATGATCTGTTGATCTCCAGCTTCTCTCTGTGGGGAACATTATAATGACAGTCAAACCAAGCACAGTCCCAACAGAGCTAAATCTCAAGTATGTAGTGACATCTAGTGGTCATACACATATAACAATGTATGAGGAATAGTTATTCATGTTTAACAACAGATCACTTACTCTTCTGTCACGTTCTTGTCTTTAGATTTGGCTTCGTTGATCTTCTCTTGTCTTTTCTTGTCCATTTTCTTCTTGAGATCCTTCTTTTCTCTGCAGATGGTGAGAAGGACAAAGAGAAAGATGTAATGAAACATGTGAGGTGCCTCTGTGTTACTGTGAATGTGTGAGCATGCTTTATGTTGAATGCAGTCTTACTTCTCACAGATGTCTCTGAGCTTTCTGAGCTGCGCACTCTGGCACTCCTCTGCTATGGTGGTCAGCTTCTCCACCAGCTAGAGTGAGACACACAAAGAGAGATTTATAATTCCACACCCAGAAAAGCCAAATGTGACACAAAACAGTAAGACACACTTGCTTTTCTGGAATTAAGCATACTTTGTTAATTAAAAACAATTATAGTTTTAATAATGTTAATTAATGTTAATGTTAATAATGTTTATAATATACAAGTTATATCCCCTTAATATTTATTATCAGTTCATAATGAAACCACATTTAGATCAGGGAAACGAAACAGATCTCTTGTGCTTGCTGTCTCTTGCTTGAATGAATCTACCTGGCGCCTCAGCTGTACTGTGCAGGTGTACTGGAGCAGAAGACATTTATTTTTCCACACCGTACACCAGCACATGTGCACAGGCAGCAGAATGATGACTGTAATCATCTAAAGGGGGGTGACTGGGAGTTTACTGCAGCATCCACTCATTTATTTGTTTATTCATTAGTTTGTGTTAGCCTCGCTGAGATTTATTGAGAGACATTCAGCACTTTATCAAGTCCAACACGAGCCTGGACAAGCTCCTACATGAGTGTGGTACATGTGTGTTTGTTTATCCAACTGATACATACAGTACATGCTTGTTTATATGATGTATGGAAACACTAAATAGATGTACTGTTATAATAAACTTTAGCATAGTGTGTAAGGAATGAAATAGCATCAATGTAACTATATTCAATCTATCATTTCAAAAGAATGAATGTAGCTCGTGTGGTGGCCATACATGGGCAGTTAAACGGAGGTACAGCGATGGCAGGAAATATGACATGTGGGATTTTAACTCTCTCATCCTAAACAAGTAGGATTTTACAACAGGCCATTGTAGGAAAGAAACACAAAAATGAAAGATATGGAAAGTTGGGTCATTTTTGGAGAGAAAGCTACATTTCAGAGATGAAAGTTATACATTCCTTAGAATTTATTTTCAACATTTCTCAGAATAAAGTGGTACATTTATGAGAAAGCATAATGTAAAACAGTATGAGAGAAAACATCTCTGAAAATATGAAGTCTTTTTATTTGAATTAGCGCATACAGCATGTTGTCAGTAGTGCCAGTAAAGCGGTAAATCAGGTGTTGCCAATAAAGCTGTACGTCTTAAAAGTGAGTAACAGACAGTATGAGAAAGATTTGTTGCAACCCTGCTACGTACTTTACCCTGAACCACTAGCCAACCCAGCTGCCGTCACATCTACTGTGTGCCTGTGTGTGTATTTGTTGTTTGTTGAGTACCTGCTTGATGTGCTCTTTTTTCTGGTACTTCTCGCTGTAGTACTGCTCCTGGCGCAGTGTGAGGAGCTGCTGCTGCTGCTGCTCCTTCAGCTCTGAGAGCCTCTGGCTGCACTCCTGATCCAGGTCGCACAGCTCCTGGTCCAGGGTGGACAGGGAGTGTTCCGACCGACTGAACACACATACGCAAACAGAACATCTGGAAATTAAGATGACTTAGTAAAGAAGTCAGTAACGAAGTCCTAAAACATTCTATAATGTTGCTATGAATTTTAACTAAAAAGGGAAAATGCACTCTAAAATAAACATGTTTTTTGTTAGTTGTAGTGCTATTCATTCATCTAGTAAGAGTTTGATGTTGTTTGTGCTGTGGTTAGTCTGCTTTCTTTTCAATATAATATATAATTCAAAATAATGTAGTACAATGTCAATACTTAAACTCATATTTCATCTATTATATTTTTTATTGGACATTTTAATTTAGCCTCTTATGTTTATATACGTATACTTATTTAATTTCTTTATTGCACAGTCTTACTTCAACTTGCTATGTTTATATAACTATTGATATTCTATTTTATTTTATCTTGTACTTTTTTATCTTATTTCATTATAAAATGGGTGAACCGTCACAAAACACCCAATTTCCCCTGGGATGCACAAAGTATTTAGATTCTGATTGTGATACGTTCTGAAAATGGAACTAGATTGCACTCAACTTGCTGAAAGTCGAAATACATTTTAAAAACTCAACAGCAGTGTTTCATTCTGGAAATCATGACCTCAGATAATCCACAGTCCTTGTTTTGAAAGTTTCATGTAGGAACTATTTTCTTTTTGTGCTAAGAAAAGGTAGACGTTTCTATGGCCAAAACTAGGGAACTTACATCTTGTAGTAAACGAATGATGAATACTTTTTGAATTCAGGATAAACAATGCTTTTAATTTATTACATTATTTCAAACATTCGGAGGAGCACTTATCTTCTACCACAAAGTAAAGTGTTGAAATGTGTCTGCCTCAGCGGCCCTCTGCTCTCCACACTGTCTGAGAGGACTGTAATCTTCGCTGCGTGCTGAGTACTGACTCTTCAGCGGGTGATGAACTCTTGAGGGCCCTGAACGACTCCCTGAGGCTCGGAGGAAGCCTTATCTCCTCATTTTTATTCTACACGTAGCTCAAAGTTTCTTTGATCTGACATACACTGTTTGCTTTGGAGCAATACAATCAACAATGTGATTTAAAGTGCATAATGTATTGTGTATTTATGTAGAAGGAGGACAGAACGAAGGAAAGGGGAAAGAACAATTCATACACAATTATATTAAGTGTTAACAAAAATAAGTACGAGTTATTTTGTGATGTCGTTTTTCCCACTTTCCTGGAACTTAACTAATTTATCATTGCTTCAGATAGTAATTTACTAAACTTCCCAGAATTATCCCAAGAGAAAAAGGGGGGTAGCTTGAAGAATTGTAAGCTACACAATAATATTGTAAGTTTATACATGTAAACATAGCAACAACAGAGTGAAAATGAAGGTTCCTTAACACAAGTGAGAGCCATGAATGTATTCAAAGTGTAACGTGTTGTGGTCGCATTCAATTCTGGCTTAAAGGAAAGATAGAATGTATTTCGGTTGTAAGTGCTTGTAAAGAAAACCTTGCTTTTAAGTGGGAGAAACTGATGACGTTATCTTTTAGTTTTTATCACGTACTTAAAATGTGATTTGCTAGCTTTTACTTTGTTGACATTTGGCCGGTAAGTCATGGGAATAAAAAAAGCCAATAGACAATTTTTTTGTGGTTGTAATGATGTTTTTCTTTGTGATTTCTTAGTGATTTCTTAGGAGATTGACAGAGTAAAAGGGAGACAAAAAATCCAACAGTTTGAAGAGGCGAAGAGGAGGGCCACCTACCTTTTCTTACCATCTCGTTTGTGGCTCTTCTGCAGGGCCAAGCGCCGCCGCTGGTACTGACCCTGCAGCTCGGACACGCGGGCCGTGTGCTCCTTGATCATCTCGCTGGTCTTGCGGTGGTGTTTCCGCACCAGCTCCTTCATCTCCTTGTACTGCTTCCTCTGCTCTCGAACGAAACCCTTCTGCTGCTTCAACTCCTCCACTGTCTGAGCCTCTAATTCTAAAGGCAGGGATGGAGGACCCGCAGGAAAAGGTGACAAAAGGGAGCGAGAGAAAGGGTGATGACTGGATATACTGTCAATGCCAGTGGGAAAGAGTTTATACTGCTTTTAGCAACTGTTTGGAGGCGGAAATGATCGGCAGTTATAGAATTTGCATCAGAGTAATAATTATAACAGCAATTATACCAGAATCATGAGCATTGACTCATATGAGAGCATTTTCTTATTTTGAATACATATATAGAATAGATTTACTAATGTCTGTCGGAAAAAAGCATTGTCAATTTTGGTTAAAAAAATCCATACATTTACAATTTTTTCACACAGTATCAATTTATTAAATGATAACGATAGCCCTTTATTATAGGTCTTTCTTTTGTGGGCTTAAAATCAATTAAATGACCAAATCATTAACACATAAACAAAGTAAATCAAACTCATTTGAATAATAGCCACAAAGTAAGTACTCAAGGATGAAGAATGAAGCATAGGCTTACCAGTGAGGACACTCTGAATGATGTCTTCAGTCTTAACTGATGGTTTCGATGAGCCTGTGTACAACATGTTAGTTTAGTTGCACAGTTACAATATGCATGGTAAAATATTGACAACAAAATGGACCAATCACACAGCTTAGTGAAATACTTGACTCTGAGTGATAAGTAGTTGTAACTTTAAACCTTACAGTGAATATCAACATATTATAAAAACACATTTCAGTCCATTTACAGACAACTTCATGTAACATTTTAGCTTTTTTATTGGAAGTATGTGATGAGTGGATCAAAGGCTTGTTATCTACACGGTACCCTGCTGACTGCGGCTGGTGTCCGACCAGCGACGGGGGTTTGGGGGCGATGATGGGCGTGTGGCTCAGTCCGTTCTCTGCTGGCATCGCCACCCTCTGATCCACCTTAGATTCTGAGGGGGCATCACTTCCTGCCTCCACCTGTCCACCACATCAAAGATCCACAATCCAGTCAACACATCTGTGAACACTCACCACTGACTCTTCTTCATAAATAGTTGTCGTTCATATAAGTCCCTAAAATGTGACCCACAATATATTTCTCTGCTGTCATCAGGTAAAAAAGTGTCAAAACATACATTTACTTTCTCTATGTTTTAGCTCTAACACAAAGTTAACTTTCCGCACAGAGCCTCCAAAAACGTTCACAAAATACTTTTTTAGAGGAAGAAAACCGCCCTTGAGTGCTGCTATCTGTTTTCAGGAGTCTCTAGTTGTACCTGAGTCCTGTAGTAGAGTTTGTAGACATAGCTTTGGTAACCCACTCTCCACATTGCTTCCTGTTTTGCCGCTCAGCCGATCTTAATTTCCCCTTAGGCCTCGCTGAATCTCACACTATTCGCTCTTATCTCAGAAAAGTGAACGCAATTTTCAGTTATCCTTGTTCGAGTCGAAGCAGATCTTCTCCTTTCTTTCTCTACATCTGCTCACCGTGCTCTGCCTTCCTCGGTGACTGTTTCCATGGTCACAGTATGAAACAGCACTCTGTCAGCCGGCCTCGTGGGTAATCATATCAGCGGGCAAATCAGATAAAAGACACCCCCTTAGGAACTGCCTTCTCTCCAGGCCCCTCTGGCTATAAACTGAGATAACCCTGTGTTATCTCAGGTTATAGCCTCTCGTACCACGCCTGTGTCTGCTCCCTGCGCCCACATGAAACCTCGTGGATTCAAAGGGACACCATTACCACATATTACTGCTTACCCTTGATGCATCACTTACAAGGTTACCAATTCTCCTGCTTGTGTGGTTATAATGATGGCTCATTAGTAGGAGATGTTCGCATTGTAATCTCTCCGTAGATTTGTTACTTGGACTGAAACAAAAGGTCACATTTTCTCAGCAGCCATGACTCAAAACTTTTCTGAGGAGCTTGGCCTTTAAGTTTCTTGACGACTGTTCTAAAGATAAAGGTCACTGCTAAGTCTAGTTGGAGTTCATACATCTGACAAATGGACTGTGTAGAGAGAATCACACCTCAAAGTTCAGTTGGTAATAAGTTCAACTTACTTCTTGAAAACAGTTAGTTATACAATCACGTTTGCTCATCAGATCGTTTCCTTGAGGACTGATAAATGTGTAAAATACATGTCTTACATTTCAGAAGCGATTTTTAGAATCGTTTGAATACTGCATTGATCATGCCAGGAGACTTCTTCTTGTCTTATGTTACTTTTAATGCTTGTCTGCACTGTCCATTTGCTGTAACATTGTTAATGTCCCCACTGTGGGAGAAATAAAGGGCGTAGGATTCTGATTCTTTCTTGCCTATTGTATATTGGCGTTTTGCTACAGTATATTTTCCGGCACATTAACATCATTGTTACATTTTTGGGTTTTTTATTGTATTCACTTAGCAACATCAAAGACACAGTAGTGACAATATGAAGGTATAGAAGGGGATAACAACAACACCATGCTGAGTATTGACATGGTGAGATATCCTTTATATTTGGATGGGAACAAAATTCAAACAGCAGTACCTCTTTTAAAATCTGCACAGCCCTCCACTTTTAAATGTAATATACGTCATTTTTTCACTGTACTTAGTTTTTACTTTTTAGTATTTTTCCAACCTGTATGCTATTTCTCTTTATTTTTGTATGTCAAATAGTTTCTAAAAATATTTTCTTTTTACAATCGTTTTTTTTTTTTATCCTTCTCTACGACTTATTTCCTTATACTGTGTTTATATTTGCACCACTATGCACCACAACAAATTCCTTGTATGTGTAAACCTACTTTTAAAAATCTGATTCTGATTTCAGCCTGACAAAATTAAGTAATCAGATTTGTAAAAAAGTGTAATGGATTCTTGAAATCCAGCATCATAACTGCTCACTCCTGACAAGCAAAGACCCTAAAGCACAGCCTGTAGGTACACACATCCTCAGTGACAGACCCCCCCCTCAGAGCAGACCTAGAACCAGAGGCTGCGGAGGGTTGATGAAATGCAGCAACAACACTGCTACAGCTTTTATCAACCAGCAAGAGGGAATGAAAAATGGCCCAAAACAAGACTATGCTGATACCATCTATCTGTGGATCTGTGCTGAGGGAAAATGACTGTTTCAAAGTGTGGTGATGATAAAAATCTCCTCTTGAATCGTCTTTCTTAAATTGCATTTTTAATAAGGTTTCGCTGAAGAAAAGGACCTTCACTTGTCTGTGTGTTCTCATTTCCCTCCATCTGGTTTAATCTCCAAACCAGTTAGATCCTGATGGTGGGGCGAGCAGCCAGCTGGCTGAGGGAGCGCTCCTCACAATCAGCGACTGATTAGTGGCTCAAAGCTCCACACACACAAACACTAACATTTATCAGCTCACACATGGTGGAGAGAAGAGCACACACACACCTCTTTGTCTCCCTCCTCCTCTCCCCCTTCCTCCAGAGTGAGTGCTGCCAGCTGATTGGCTCTCTGCTCCATCAGGTTGACGTAGCGGATGGGATTGGACAAGGCTTCAATGACATCTGATGAACAAGAAGGAAACAGAGCAGCCTTTTTGTAAAAACAGAGCATGGTTGCGGTGGAATAGTAAAATAGAAAAATTAGGTAGTATATATTTTTCAATCACTTTTCCTTAACTTAAGTGAAAAAAAGTGACGGGGTTAAGGAAATATGTGAAGGAAAATTCCTTAGGACATACATTTTCCATTTGGGTTTACAATATTGTGACTTACTTTTACCAAAAGTATGAGCTTTATCAATATGTATCATCAGATTAACTAATAATAAAATAATAACTTGAATTTATATAGCGCCTTTCATAACCTCAAGGTCGCTTTACAAAGCTTATTAAACTAAGCTTATTAAGCACTGGCTACTTGCATGATCAGCATTTTTAAGTCATGATGATCGGCATCTTTTGTGAGTGTCTCAAATGTGTGTGACTCCAAATGTTGTCGCAGCAAGAAATTGTGAAACAGCATTATCTCCTTTCCTTTTGAAAAGGATGGTCAGTGATTCCTTTGCTTAAGGACATAATAAAGGAAGCGAGGAGCTCCTTTCCTTATCATGTAAAGAATTCAAAAAAGCTCTTTTATCATGGCTGCCTTGAAGGTACTGTACTGTACTTTCGGCTTATTTCACTCAGTTAAGAATCTTCCTAAACTCGACAACATTTTGTATTTTGGTTTTAAAATGTTTTTGTACGACTTACCTGCAAATGTGTCTGGGACATAGTCCTTTACTTCTACGTAAACGAACAGAGCCGGTAAAGTCAGGGACTGGTTCTTCTCGTTCCTTAGACTGATGTAGTGATAGCCTGCAGAGACAGATTGAGGATTGGTCAGTTCAGAAATAACAGAGAGAGATCAACCTGCTTCTTTGGTGACACTTCAGGAAACACCCACAGCTTTTCAAACTACATGCATCTCATATGTAATTATCTTTGCCCTTTGTTTTATTATCTGATGTTTTCTGATGGTATATTTAAAAGATGTGTTGCTTGTTAACCTTTTCTCTTTCTCTATTCTTTCCCAGTCTAGAAAAATAATATTCTCTGGAACAACAAGAGATGAGATGAACAAAACGTAATCACCTGGACGGATGGCTGACACAGGGATGATACGGTGGCCGATGAACTTCCCACCTTCCTCAAACACGGCTATCCTTAATGAGGCGAGTGTGGGCAGAACAACCTGAAAATGTAGAGAAATATCTCATTATCAAATCGAAATGACAACACACAGCTGCTGTTATGCTACAATGTCTTTAGGAAATATTTCATCAATATGGTTATTTTATGTTATAGTAATTGGGGTTGAAATGAAATTGATACTCATCCTTCAAAACAGCCATTTTTGTGAAGGTATATTGAATGCTATTAAGAACATAGTCTGACCTTCTTGAAGACAATGGCCTCCTCTTCCCAGACAGGGTTGATGGCGTTGCCTTGAGACGTCTTGGTCTTGAACGCTTTCCTCTTGGTGTCCACCGGCAACCCAAACATGTCAATCTCTACGTACGTGCCCACTTTCTTATCAGACAAGAACTGGCCTGAGATGATCTAGAAGAAAGGAGTAGGAAATAAAGCAAGAAATAACTAAAGATTAAAAACACACACACAGACGTAAAAGAGACATTTCCCCCGACACAAAAAGACAAACACACACCTTCACAGACAGTGTGTTGGCTACTATCCCGTCCACTGTGCTCTCAGTGAAAGGGTCAAAGTGTTTGTCCGGCCGCCTCATAAACTCCGGTTTGAGCCGGTAGCCACATTTCCCATTGTACTCATACATGCCCAGGTTTAACTGCATGGACAAATCTGTGGAGTGAGGACAAAATAACAACATTTGGATGAGTCAACAACAATAACACTTTAAAATGGCATCGTGCATTGAAAAAGATTTGTTATGGAGATGTTTTCATGATCTATGCTCACCGATGGTTTGGAAGTTGAGAGCCACCAGCTGACAGCCGGCGTTCCAGAACAGCTGAGGGTTGTAGTTGGATGAATCCACGCGGGTGCCTTTAGGGTAGATCCTGCTCAGCTGCAGCTTGTTGTATCTGGAAACAGCTGGTTGAGGACAATACTGCATGGACTGCACTACTAAGCACAACTGGTATGACTACTCCTTCTTCTTCCTATACTTACTTTACTTTGATTACAATTAGAAAAACTAAAATAACTGATTTGAAATGAGATACAGTTCTATGTATATCATCAACAAAATTAGCTGCATGAGCTGTACACAATAAGACACTCACTGTGATTGGACCTTGGACGGCTACAGCACACAGGGAAATGCTCCACAAGAAACCCCAAGATTAACGTGGAAAAAAAGGAAAAAACCTCTGTGAGAACAACAGAGGAGGGATCTCTGTCCCAGGACTGGAAGACATGCAATTCATGTCATGTCTTTAGGAAAAGAAAAGATAATAAGATTACAACATCCAAAATCAAAATGACAAAGATTATATTGTGATTGTAAAAACAAAAGAATATGGACATAGGAGAATGTCAAAAACCTTCCAGTTGGTGCCAACAAAGACCATTGATCATAGTAAATATGTGTGCACTGCAGACGGAGCTAAAAAAACTGAATAGAACAGAAGTTGCAATTACATGATTAAGTATGACTGAGAAGGATACTCCACAAACTCGACAGGACACTTCGTCAGTTGTTCCAAAGCTTTAGTCTCAACAAAGGAGGACATCTGGAAGCTGCGATTGATCTCTGTGGGCAGGAAGTTTCCATATTATTTACAGTGTTTTATTCCCATATTGCTAATAAAGATATTAAAGTTGTTCTTTTAGCAAGAACATGTCTCCATCTATGTCCTAATGTACATACTTTTGGAAGCCTCAAAACTGTTAAACTTGACTGGCTGGATGTAGATGACCAGGTTGGACATTTCCTCCGTGGCAAGTGCCTCGCTGCCTGCTGTACCCTGTATATGAAAACACACACAAACAAACAAATCATGTAATTGATATTTTAAAAAGAAAGGTCTACTGACATTTATTTTTTAAGAACTAAAATGCAATATCCAATGTGTACAGCAGAGGGCAGCGTCATCACATGGCATGCAAACAGTACCATGAGCTGTAAATCATTATTATTACAAGCCTTTGAATAAAATGCTGAGTATTTACAAACCTCATCCATTGAGCCCTTTTTACAGTCGTCATCATCATCATCTTCATCCTCACTTTCTGCTTCAACCTCGCCTGAAACATGAGGGACAAATATGTTTACAGTTAAACAAATCTTAAAGGTTTGAAAGGCTTTTAAATATCTTGGATAAATTCCCTTCATTAATTCATCTACAGCTGTGACACAAATACAGCTTACACTGAGCTATGGCTGAGGAAATGAATTTGAATATTGTTTTGGTCGTCTTATGCGTGCATAATGAGAGATCTACTAAAGATTTCCCAGTGAATTGGAGGTCACTCTGACGGAGGAAATTAACTTTAGCAGCTTAATGGTCGGACTGACCTACAGAGTCTGCAGCCGTCTAATGAGAGCTAAAGCTTTTTCCCGCAGAATCTGAGGTCATGTACTAAGTATGACTCACCGATAGACTTTCTGCCCTGCGGCCTCAGGCTGAGCTCGGCTCCCTCCGGAGGCTGCGAGGAGTCCGCCGTCTCCTCTTTGGTCGAACCTGGTGGGGAAAAAACAAACTTATCAGCAAAAAAACCTGCATCCGAATAAACTGCAAGGTGAAACTACTGTATGAGTGTATACAAGGAAACATTCTGCAGATGTGTTTTGATGAATTCGAATATTAAGCCTTTTACAAACATATATACATCATCAAGTAACATCACACGGTAAATAAAAAGCCATGTGCTGCTTCAAATAATAACAGCCAGCTGATCTAAGGGTATGTCTTCCTTCCTTTTCAAAATGCTATTTGTTTTTTACTCAATGAAAGCTGCCTATGATGCTCATTTTCAGGTTCACATTAGTATTTGGCCTCTATTGTGATATGTTCACTCGCTCTTTGTTTTTCTCATACTGCCTGTGCTGCAGCACCTCTTTTCACCCTCTGTCTGAAACCAGAGCCCAGTCTGCTCTGATTGGTTAGCTGGCCGGCTCTGTTGTGATTGGTCAACCGCTAAGAGATGTCCCGCCGCTTAGCCTATCACGTACAATATGTTGGAGCTAATAGAAACGTAGTGTTGTCACTATGTTGTGGAAGTAACTAGTGTGTGGGAGAGAAACTCCCTTCTTCTCTTGAAACATTGTTCTTTTACCTTTAAGTATAGCTTACTGTCTTTTGTGGTTTGTCCTTAAAACCTCATTATCTCACATCATCCATTTTAAGACCATGGTTTTATATCTTCAAAGCATCTTTACATTGATGGAACATTTGCATCTTGCAGAACCTACTTGTTCTAGATCCTTAGAAATTGGTGACTTTATTCTAAACCACTTTCTTGGTTTCCCTGCTTTTCCTCCTTCTCTGGCTTGACACCGTTTTTAATATCAATCCTTACCTCTAGGGTACCTTTTCAAAGCTATTCAACACTCCCATCGCATGCCAACCTACGGTCACTAATAATCTACGCACTACTTGGTCCAAGAATCTCAAAAGAGAGATGGAGACTTCGAAAGAGAGATTTGGCAGTCTTGGCTATAGTTCACATTTATCCTGGCACCGATCTACATTTTGATAATGTCACCTTGAACCACATCATCTCCCACACGTGTTTTGGACCAGCTCCACCCTATTTCTATTTTAGACGTTTCTCTTTGACTCCCTCTCAGCCGTCACATCTGCTTACTCCCAGGCCTCACCCACAGATGGCCTGTTTGGTGTCCAACCCACTGACACTTCAATGTCGTCCTTTTGCGTATTTGTTTTTTTTTAACATTGCTTGCGAGGCATATAATTTGGATGTAGTGGAATCCCACTACTGTCATACAAATTGGATAAAGGATGCCCTATACTTTGTGAAGTTAGTGAACAAAATTCATTATTATGAGGCTCTAACAAACATGTTCCAAAATACAGTATGGTCCCTTTAACTGGATGCTGCCCAACTGTACTCTACCAACAGTATATCTAGTATAGTATGGTCTTGAAGAGTTTTGGTAAATTGGATGTATATTTATATTCTGATTTACTTATTTGTTGTTCTTTTTAATTTAGAAGTTTATTAATTATTTGTTATTGAAGTTGTCTTTGATCCTAGCATCTTGTCTTAATTTATCATTACCTACTCTGAAAATGTTAACCTCTACAGAATATGTTTCTTCTTTTTTTTATTGATTAGATTACATTTATTTATCCTAATTCAGGATTATGTTATTGGACAGTAGCATGTAATTTAGGTATTGCACATGTAGAAAATGAAGATAAAAAGTAAATATATACATATCAACAGTAGAAGATTAACGATAACACAGTCATACATAGAAGGTTGATGTTTTTACATGTTGACATTTCTACAAATAAATCAAGAATGTATATATATCTCATGTTTTTGAAGAGCCGCAAAGTGCGCCTTCAGTCTAAAACCAAACCAAGCCTCTGATTTGCAGATTTCTTAATGCACAGCAATTCAAAAGATTTGTGCATGTCAGTGCTTTAGCTTCTTATTCTCAAACACCAGGGGGCAGTGTAAGAATGAAGCCTAATTATAATGAAGTTTTGAACCAACTGAATCATATATTTTATGTGCGGACAACACACACACACACACACACACACACACACACACACACACACACACACACACACACACACACACACACACACACACACACACACACACACACACACACACACACACACCACACACACACACACACACACACACACACACACACACACAACACACACACACACACACACACACACCCACACACACACACACACACACACACACACACTAAGTGTAGCCAACTCCAATGCACATATGAACGATTTGAGAGAACTAAAACCAGAGAACAGCTGTGAAAACATAAAAGTCCATAAATTCAGTTATATAAAATTTGACCCGACAGTTATGGTGTAATGTAGACACACACCCGCGTACACACACACCATACAGTAAAGGCCACAACTGGCCGGTGTTAACGATGCCCCAGTGACAAGCCCTAGTGCATGCAACAGCCAATACCACCTTCAGCTGATGGAGAGCGCCATGAAAATGATGAATGATAAACAATGGCTCTGTTTCGCTCCAGTGACTTTGACAGCAGAGGAGTGTTGGTCCATATTACAGATGGTCAGGCTACATTTTACATCTGGAACATCGCAATTAAACGGCCCCTGTGTGATTCGACGGCTCTGTTTCTAGGGTGCAAGCGTGTGTTTGTACCTGCGCTCGGGGAGGAGGGCTCACACACACTGGAGGAGTCGCTGTAGGTGTTGGAAACCTGCTCCGACAGTTTCTTCTTGGTGCTCCCGTTCGTCTTGTGGTGTTTCTTCTTGTTCTTCACCAAGATCTTCCCCATCAGCTCCATTGGGCTCGGGAGCGGCACACCAGACTCCAGCTGAAGAAAGCAATAAGCACAGAGAGGCTATAACATGTGTAATAAGGTCACACAGGATCAGAGGTAGCTCATGAGGAAAAAGGGAAACTGTATGTTTGTATGATCTGGATGGAAGGATAGAGACATCTTTTTATGACAAGGACACAAGAAATGATATTCAATAAATGTTATTAAGTTAAAGAGTTTAGCTGGATGGCTAGAAATGGCTCCATTGGGGCCATAATTAACAACAGCTTGGAGACATATTAGCAAATTAGAGGAAGAAAATACTAAACTTGTTGTGAGTCATTCAAAATGTAAATTCATAGCGGTTTACATTGTTGTTTGTATTCTGCTCAGTCGCTAGGGAACATTTAAGTGAGCGGGGCTTGTTAGCAGTCTGACTAACAGGATATAGAATGTGGGAATGAGCCTGTGTTATCATTTTCAAAATCCAAGCTGCTTTGATGAAGATTGCTATCATGCAATAAGGCAGGCTTGCTTTGTTCTTTTGGGGAATGGATGTACAGATATTTAAAAAATGTGTTTAAACACAGGGATGTTCCTGCATGTTTGCCAAACTTAAATGAAAAAGGTTCACGTCTCATTGTCAGCTAGTGAGGGTAAACACAGATTCCTTGGTCGCCATAATGGAGGAATAACTTTATTTTAACGACAAATAGTTCACAATAACAAGTTCCTAACCGATAATAATTTACATCTATGCTGCATCCTGGGATTAGGGCAACTGTGATTGGTAAAAAAACAACTGGATTTGTTCCTTTCCTTAGAATGGAATTATTATTATACAGAGTTTCTCCAAAATGTGGACATAGGTCTGCCCATGCTACCCTATGACTTTGAGGATCAGCAAAGTGCTTCACAAACTGTTGATGTAACAGCTCAAAAGTTGACACTTTCAACACTAAAATCAGCTTCCTGGGGGGAATCTGAGCTTTAAACACAAACATTCGCCCTCTCAAGGGAGCTGGCTAGAAGTACGAAGATCCTCTGAGTTATTCATAGGGTACACTGCTTTTGGATCACAGTGTTTAGGGATATCAATAATTCATTGGAGAAAGTCAGCAGTGATGTTGAATACACACATGCATTCACAACTCTTGGAATTTCAAACTTATCAGCCACAAACATGACCTAACTTTAAAAATGTCTTACTTTTACTGACTTTAAGGACATTTTAAAGGGCCGGTTCACCTCAAAATATGAAAATAAAATATATGTGTTCTACTAAACAGTAATGCTATTGGATGGATATATGGGGCGTAGAGATGCAGGCATCTGTAGAGTATAACGGAACTAGAAAATCAGAAAATGTAATGGAAAAAATCAACAACGTCTCTTTCCAGAACTCATGACCTGATTACTCAAGATCATCCAGAGGTGGATTGTTAGAAGTTTGATGTAGGAACTTTTTAATTTGGTATGTATATTGTATAAAAGTAGATAAAGGCATTCATCCAATCATGGACGCTTGGTTGGTGCTTGAAACAGCGTAAGATGTAAACATGACTTTAATTACCGGGTCCCTTTAAGTCAAGGTCCTTCAGCCAATAACCTACTTTCCCAGCTGTCACACACGTCCATTTCCCGTCCTACAGTTGTAGAAGGGAAGTGATCAAATAAAGACGTTTGCCTTGACCTCATTCTATCAACAGATCCATTGAAATGGAATCAGTACAATATTGAAAGTGGCACATAATCTTGACTGCACTCAAATGCACAGCACTAAACCGGTTTTCTACATTTTACCTGGATAGACTCAATAAAGATGTTGTCCCCTAATTGCCCTCACATGTTAGTTTTGCTCAGTTGCATAGAGGAAGTTCAAAGAGAGCATCTACTGTAAATAGGTGTACAGGGTGGAATGGGCAGCGTCGGGTGGAAGGACTGTGAAAGAGTAACGCTGCCTTTGATTAAAGGTGTCACATCCTACATTTGAGGAAAGTCATTATTTTCCTGCTTGCTACGCTACTTCCAAGATGTCCAAGTATTGTGAATGCTGCCTGCTGTTCCAATTATGGTTGGTCTGCAGCCTAAATCTAAGCTTCTACGGAACTGAACAAACTGCAAAAAGAATATCAATTTCTTCCAAATTCAATATGTATTCAGCACATTATGAAACAGTTTTGGCAATACAGCCTTCATCAGCATAATGAATGCAGCGATAAGACCCATACAACAGATATGAAAAGATGGCTAATTCTTCTGGAAAGCAGACTGTTGTTTTTTGCACAAAAAAAACCAACAACTTTGTCAGCAGCCGCTCCTTCTCGCCACTGTTTGGTGGAGTGCAGATGCAGCTGTAATCCTCTTTATTCTCACCTTAGGCTCAGCTGAAACCAATCCAGCCATATGACCTTATCTGCCCCTATGGAGTAACGTAGGCAATATCCCATTTGATATGCTGTATACACGCTGTCTCAAAGCCAGAGGGGAGTGGTTGTCATTGCACTCACCTTTCCCAGTTATTACACGCTCAGTATTCGAAATCTGATTCCTCAACGACACTTTCTCTTTCTGTCTCGCTGCTTAAATTCTCCCTTGGTGTCTGTCTCCTGATATCTTCCCTCAGCTACTCTATTCCAAAAGGCTTTCCCCAGATAATACTTCAATGTCAATTACAGTCAGGGGGGCTTCAGCTGCTCTACAGTGTTATATCACCAGGGACAAGACATCCCGGATGAATAACATGCAAGGAGGTATGTTAAATTACACATGTGTGCACCAGACACTATGAGAGTCAGAGAGTTTGTGCGACAAGTGTACAGTATTTGCCTCACGTAAATGCCTGCGTCATTAAACACAAAGATGCCTGTGGGAAGAAAGAAAAAAAGAGTTTGGCCACAAAGAGACGAAGCAAGCTTTTGACTGGTAGCCATGGCAACAGAGGAGAGACAGATAAAGGACTGCCAAGGAAAGCTACGTTAAGATTATAGTATAAACATTTCCATTTAATCTTACGTCACACCATAGTTTGCAGTCTCTCCCATGCAGGGGAATGTGGGATGATTTATAAAAAGTTGGCTTTAATGGAGCATAAATAGCCACAGGTGTGTGTGCGTGTGTGTGTGTGTGTGTGTGTGTGTGTGTGTGTGTGTGTGTGTGTGTGTGTGTGTGTGTGTGTGTGTGTGTGTGTGTGTGTGTGTGTGTGTGTGTGTGTGTGTGTGTGTGTGTGTGTGTGTGTGTGTGTGTTCAGAATAAGAAGTTGAGAGAGAATGAGACTGGGAGGTGTTCAGGAGCGTGCCAGGAGTGACAGAAAGAGGAAAGACAGCAACAGATTTTGCCAGATGCTGGAGGACATGTCAATGTGTTGCTGTTTTTGAGACAGATGGAGAAACACAGACAAAACCGTGTACTGGATGTGGACATTTAATGAATATGTATAAGAGTGGATTCTGGAAAATATGTAGAAGATAATATTTTTGTTATTTTTTAAATAAGCTACTTATCTTACCACTTGGAAAAACACTTTAATAAATCAAAAAGAATGATTCATACTTTATATTAAGACAAATTACCTAGGAATTGGTTAAAAGATGACAACTGTATGAAATCAAAATGAAAGGATATTGTTAAAGAAAATGTATGAAAGGGAAAAATAACCATGAGCATAAGAAATAAGATAAATATCTTTGAAAAAGAATAATGTATCTGTTATCTGTTAACTGCATACTATAACATGTTGTGGGTATTTTACTATTTAATTATATAAGGTATCTTAGTTTTAACTAATTTCCTTGTGTTATGCATGCCCTGAAACCATAACATTCCTTAAAAGGAAAACATAAAAGAATATATAAATATGTGTGTAAATAATTGTTTTATAAAGTGGTGTCCTGAATGTATACATGTCTGGATCACTGGCTGGCCAAGGACACGTCTTTGGTGCACTCGTGTGTGATGATCTGCTAAATCCCTCGTGCTTGCCTTGTCGTATGCATCCATGTTAAAAAGAGACAGACCGCGTGTGTGTGTGTGTGTGTGTGTGTGTGTGTGTGTGTGTGTGTGTGTGTGTGTGTGTGTGTGTGTGTGTGTGTGTGTGTGTGTGTGTGTGTGTGTGTGTGTGTGTGTGTGGGATCCTCTTATGTACTCACAAGATATTTCTCCAGAGGATCTGTCAGTAATGCGTCCCCAAATATTGACCGGCAGTACTCTGCCATCTTAGCCTGCTGCTTCGGCCTGTAAGTCACCACACACACAACATCATGATTTCTCTACCAAATATCAACACACTGAAAATATATGTTACTCCTAGCAAACCCCTATAGGAGCCGAGAACTTCTCCTTAACGCTGCGTAGACGTTAACACTGCTGATACACACTGCAGAGAATGGCTGATTGGGCCTATTGATGCCAAACAAACCAATGACAGACAGCTCTGATCAATAATGTTGACTCTCGTTGTGTAGACTATGCATCTCTGGTTTTTAAATGAGCTGCTGACTTACGAGTCCACGTGATTCTCAAAAGACAGGATGATGGGGAAGGGCGAGGTCTTGAAGGCACACTCTGCTATAGCCTCGATCACCTCCTGAAAGCACAAACAGAAAAGAAAAACGATGCTGATTGCACATACTTGGGAACAAATGTTGTTATTGCTATTAAAGTAACAAAGTGCACAATAAAAATAATGGATGTCAGTGTTGGTAAAGGAGCCAACAGTGACATCTGTCTTGGCTCCAATGTTTTCCGATTGACCGTCAGAAAATGATTGCGTGTAGTATTTTCCTTAATAACATCGGGAAACAACAACAATTTAAGCAAAGCCTCTTTTAAAACATGTCAAAGTTATGACCGTAATTTAGCCTCTTAGCAACACTTTTATTGCAAGATGAGTCAATACATTTGGTTTATCCGATAATGTGCTGTAGAGTCAAGACAGAACAAAGCATTAAAAAAAACACTTAAAAGCCAGTATCATAAATGTTTTTTTCGTTTCCTTGGAGAATATGCCCAAACCTCTTAAGATCAATACATGTAGAAGAGAGAGTGAAAGATACAAGTAGAAATCTACTATGTTTACTAGATACATGGCTGTATTGAGGCTACTGAAAACTATATGTGTATACAAAGCTTGTATGTATGTGCAGGATTTCAACATGATGAACACTTTCTGATTAATAAAGTGAAATAAAATCATGGTAAAGTATATCACAAATTGCAGAATGCTCATTCATTCATGCCCTAACTACCACACTAAAGAGTGGATATGTTTCTGGAAATGGGAGCTCTTAGGTGGTGTCACTTCTCAACTCCAGCAAAGACAGCTCAACATCTGATTGTCTAAGTCAATTACACCATCGTTAACAATGGTGTCAGTTATTGCCTCATTTCCATTTGCTCCATCTATCCATCCATCCATCCATCTTCTCCCGCTTATCCATGGTCGGGTCGCGGGGGTAGCAGTTCCAGCAGAGAGCCCCAAACTTTCTTTTCCCTGGCCACATCAACCAGCTCTGACTGGGGGATCCCAAGGCGCTCCCAGGCCAGCGAAGAGATATAATCCCTCCACCTGGTCCTAGGTCTACCCCTTGGTCTCTTCCCAGCTGGACGTGCCTGGAACACCTCCCTAGGGAGGCGCCCAGGTGGCATCCTAACTAGGTGCCCGAACCACCTCAACTGGCTCCTTTCGACGCGAAGGAGGAGCGGCTCAACTCCGAGTCCCTCCCTGATGACCGAACTTCTCACCTTATCCCTAAGGGAGACACCAGCCACCCTGCGGAGAAAACCCATCTCGGCCGCTTGTATCCGCGATCTCGTTCTTTCGGTCATGACCCATCCTTCATGACCATAGGTGAGGGTAGGAACGAAAATGGCCCGGTAGACAGAGAGCTTTGCCTTCTGGCTCAGCTCCCTTTTCGTCACAACGGTGCGGTAAAGCGACTGCAGTACCGCTCCCGCTGCTCCGATTCTCCGGCCCATCTCACGCTCCATTGTTCCCTCACTCGAGAACAAGACCCCGAGATACTTGAACTCCTTCACTTGGGGTAAGGACTCATTCCCTACTCCAATATATTTCTTTGTCTGTAACTCAACCCTCTCCATCTGTAAGCTCCATCCTCTGCCTCTCAAAACTCTTCTCTTTGTGCATTTCACTCTCCGGGTAATTCCATTAGGCGTGTTCTACTTCTTTTGTTACTCTCATTAGAACAAATGTTCTTCTATCAATCAATCAATCCACCCACTTTCCATTTCCTTATTCTCCTCACACCTACTCTGCCCTTAGATGTTCACACCCCCACCCCATCTCTTCCTCCTCCTAGTTATGTGTTTTTTCTTTTTGTCTTCTCATCTTCAATTAAGCGCCCCTCTGCACCTCGGTTTAGGGCTATTTGGTGTTTCCCTGTTATTTACAATTTTCTGCTGAACACATTCCCCTATTTGTTTATCCCACTTCTTATCCAGCTCTGCTTCCTCTGTATTTATTTTTATTTTCTGTCTCCGAAAATGTATCTATCTGCATTTCTGTGTTTACATATTTCCATGTTATTATCGCTAACATTTGCATGAAATCTCAAGTTTATGATTCTATTATCATTTACTGTATTTAGATTGACAGGAACACGATACAAATATGTTATCCATTTCTATGTCATTTCTTTGCTCTTTCTCAATACAGTGCACACTTGTATAGCCTGAAGCAAGCTACAACTAGTACTACTTATATATTACTACTATTATGGCTGGCCATTTCCTTATTTTATTTATATCCTTGATATCAGATGGCAGATCCCTGCACTAGTTGGTTCTTTGTCAGCACTACAGTAGCTGGACATCTGGTCACACTAGTTTGGCTTTCTCTTTTACCAGTTGAACAAAGACTAGTAACTCTTTTACAGCAACTAGTGGCACTTTTGTCTTACTAGTTCCATCTTAAACACACCACAGAGGCAGACTGCCTTTGTACACTCTGCTATTTCCTTTACGGCCATTGGAAGCATCCAGATTCAATTCAATCTTTTGGTGTAACACATTTATATTTAGCAACCAAACATGCCAACATTGATTTGCATTTGAGACTTTAGTTTAAATGAATTGTAATATGGAATATGTTTTAGCTATAATCTGGCATATAGCATATTTTCTCTCTTTGAGATTAATGTATTTATGCATGGTCCTTGTTCAATAAAGACATAATAATAAACCCTACTAGTGACACCAGGCAAAAGCTCAACATATTAACTAGTCAAACATGGATTGGGCTCCCTAATGAACAAAGAATATCCAATTTGCTCACTAGTTAACTAGTAAAGGTAAAAATATAAATAGACCTATTTTGACCTTCCAAGTTAACTAGTGAGGCTCAAAAGGTTTACTTGTTAACTAGTAATGTGGGAAATGTCACTATCAACAGAAGTGAGAGACATTCCGACAGGTCGGATAGTGAGGTTTAAAATATTTAGTAGTCAACTAGTTAAGCCGCATTCTGTTATGGAAGACTTTGCTAGTGGAGCCTCGCAGATGCGGGTGCTGCAGCCCCCTCAGCATCCCCCCTTCCCACGTCCATGTTGTTCAGGCTGAGTTCAGGCTGAGTTTCACGGTGTCTCGCAGACCCCACGCAGCAACCAGGAAACGACACCAGTAACCCGGCTCACACTGTCCGCTCCTCACAGCAGCGAGCCGCGCAACGTCCCACCAACACGGCACCCATACCCCACGCAGCATTCTCATCTGTTTGTCATTACTGGTGTCATTTTCTGGTTGCTAACGCCATTGTAACACATAAACACTGATGTTCCGCTGCAACGGTGATGGACTCATCAGAACAGAGTGGGCGAGCTGACCAATCAGAGCACACTGGGCTCACAGGGAGGGGGGGGGGGGGGCAGGAGCTCCAACAAGCCGTTTAGGACAGAGAGTGAATACACATACTATACAGAGATGCTGTATGAGAAACCAATGTGAGTTTGGAACATTGAACAATGTAAATCTATTCTAGTAGACCTCAACCATGGAATTATGATCAGTAGAAATGGCCATGTCATGGGACCTTTAAGTGAGTATTTAAAATCATGTTCTTGTAAATGATGCCTAGAAGCCTGTTTGAACTCTAGACTATCTAAAATAACTAAAACATAAAAGGCTGTGGGTGCAAACAAAACACCAATCAGTATTTGATGAAGTAAGTGGATCATATGTGGATTATATCATCTGTCTGTGAGGTCTGTTTACCCAGAATCCCCCTCTGTGTGTGTGTAGACAGAGACATTAAAATGCATCTTCAAAATAAAAAATAACAGGTTCCTGCCCGTCCCGTCCCGTCCCCCCTCCCTCTGCACTCCAACCCTTCGCCCTAATCGCTGTCACTCCGCTCTCCTTGTGTTACCTTGAAGGAGATTTCAGTTGTCATGGTGAAGCCGTGAGTGATGACGGGCTCTTCTTCTGTGGTGCGACCCTTCCAGCAGTCCAGTTCGATGCAGCGGCATCCGGACAGGAGGACCTGCTTATACATCTCCACAGAAGAGTTCCCCGCGAGCTGGCCGGCTGCACACACACACACACAAAAACAAACCACTTTAGGTAACTGTCATTTGATCCTGAAAGAACCGAAAAGCCTACAAAATCATGTCCTCCCACCTTTCAAGAGCTCATTATCCGCTTTATTTGCTAGCATGCAGTAAAAACAATACAACTGTCGTTATCTGGAGCAGGTAAATCTCATCAGCCTTTCACCATTAGCGAAGCAATTACCTCTTCACATTAGCAACACACTTTCCTACAACACGGTGGGGACTGTGTCAAGGTGAGAGGCAGTTCTGTTCTCACCTCGGCTGACATCAAGTATACTTTTTTATCTGTTTGTGTTCCCTTTTTTCTCTTCGTTTGACAGTCATGCTTTTCCAAACTCATTAGAGCAACACCTTCTTTTCTAAATGAGCTCTTGTGTTGTGCGCTGCATAAAACATTGCTTTAATCTACCACGGATCAATAGAATGGAAATACATCAGCGTGAATGAATAACTGTCAGTCGGATTATCGTGTGTGGATCTTTATTATAAAGTTGTAAATACCTCTCTGTTACCTATAATAACGCGTCACTGTTAAAATACATAACAGTATTGTGAGGAGAGAATTAAACACACTTGTTTGTTTTTCCTAATTTCTTCATTTTCGCAGGCCACGAGTCTGGCCTATTACAGATATTCCATTATTTCCATCGCTGGAGAAATTTGATCCACTTGAAAGATTCAATGCTCTCCAGTTCCCCCCAGAATAGATTTGAATAGATGAATTCTAATATCTATTGGAGAGAACATGGCCCCTGTATTGAGCCCCGCCATGCTCGTGCACCGCTGAGAGCCAGTTACTGTGACTACCAGTCAAAAGAAATATTTAACTCATGAATATCAATGAATTGAGTCTCAGTGTATGACTTGATTGGATAACCTCTGGCACAACGGCCTGTTTGAGTGACTGACCTGCGAGGCATCGAGTCTGCTGGATTCACGTGCGCAAAAAGATTGTGTTTCTAAATGAAAGAGTGATCTGTTCAAGTGTGGGAAAATAAATGAGCAATCAGTAAGTTCAATCAAGTTGAGAGTTTGTATGTGAGAGAGACAGAGCTTACACACACAACTCATTTAGATTTGTTGAGATGTCTGTGCATACCTGCTAAGCGTCTAATATCAGAGGTGGGAAGTAACTAAGTACATTTATTCAAGTACTGTACTTTTTTGAGATACATGTACTTTACTTGAGTATTTCCATTTTATTTTAGCCTGTACTTTAATCCACTAATTCAGAGGTAAATTGTGTACTTTTATTTAATGCCTTTAGTTACTTTACAGATTTGGATTAATGAAATGAAATATAACTAACCCTTAAATAAGACTTTAGTTACACCTGGGGTAAATTCAGAAGCTACCATGCAGTACAAAGTCATTAAAACTAGCTGCACCTTTACCAGCTTTGAGAACACTTTGCTGAATAGTTATCAAAACACATATTATATATAATTCTGAAATGGACCAATCTGCAGAATGACTACTTTTACTTGTGGTACTTTAAGTATATTTTGATGCTTATACTTTTACATGAGTAACATTTTGAATGCAGAACCTTTACCAAAGTATTCCTACACTCTGGTACTTCTACTCAAGTATAGAATCTGAGTACGTCTCCCACCCCTGTCTAATATGAATAACTTTATATATCACTACAGGATATCTTAACCTACAATTAAATGTAAATGTTTATTTATTAGTTGACTTAACATTTGCATTAGCTATCATCTTAATATGTTAAGTAACTAAAGCTGTCAGATAAATGTCATGGAGTAACAAGTACAACATTGGCTTTCCAAATGTAGTGGAGTAGAAGTATAAAGAAGCATAACATAAGTACCTAAACATTTGTACTTAAGTGCAGTACTTGAGTAAATGTACTTTATCAAATTCCAGCGCGGCGTACCTGTGAGGTATGTGTTGTGCGAGGAGTTGATGAAGTAGTGGGGGAGGGGCAGGGTCATGTCTTCGCTCTGATCCAGCTTCTCGGGGGGGATGATGCTGTTCTCCTCTCCGCTCAGATACCGGGCAAAGCCTTCCACCGAGATCTGACCTGCACAAACACAACACAGCGCACAGACATGTCGGTCAAGATGAAAAGACTAAAGGTTGAGTCTGATACTATTCTTTGGGTTTTTTACCATCAACAAATCCAATGAAAAATCCACAAATAAATACATACTGCTGTCTCTGTAGTAAAGCCTATTAAAGCATAAATGTTAAAGCCATAGATCTCCACTGTTGTTCAAACTCATTGTTGTAGTTTTTATTTTGACATACCTACTGCTGACACAAATACCCACTCGAATACTAAGAGGTTGTCAATCTACGCCAAGAAGTAGTCCCAAATAAATGTGTTATTTAATCTTGTCTGAGTTACTTCAGCTACGTGTGCGATTGTTTCAGATAAGTATCTAGCCTTCTTTAAAAAATAAAAAAGGGTAGATATGGGCTACCTTTTTTTCTTTATGTCTTCAGTGCGCCATATACAAGGTAGGAACACATTATTCACACTAACACTTTTTAATCTATTTTTAAAGTAGGATTTCATGACAACAACAAACATAACATACTGCCAGCCTTATCCTTTACACTACATGCATCAATACATGCTGCATGACATATGGTATGGCATGATTGTGTGCCATTTAGCAAAGATAGAAAGAAGATGTTCCCCTCGCATGTCTTGAATAAGAATAACAATCCTGAACAAATATCATTTGTAATGTTTGTGTTCACACTATACTGTGTACCCCTACTGCTTGTATATCCAAATTAGCAATTGGATGACTGCGTTAAAATATTTGTAATGGTTATATGTGAACATGTTCAGTATCACTAATTTCAATTAAGATAACGTTGTATTGAAACAGAACCCTAATTTACTGTTTGGTGAGCCTTCGTGGTTAGTTTCTAACATTTGCAGTGGGTGTATATTGCCAGTCATAAGCATTCATTAGAAATATTAAAGCTGTCTAGGTGGAGAAATGCAAAAACATGATGAAGAAACCTGATGTACTACATTTCATGCTCCACTACCTTCTACGCCACTGCCCATAATAAGTCATACAGTGATGTGCAGAAGCTAAACTACCCTTGACGTTGTTATTTTTTGTTTTGATTGTTTGTCAAGGTCGCTCATGTTAAGCTGTACCTTTTCTCTGTCATCACTGAGCTCATGTCCTCAGCAGACATGCTTGAGAAAGTGAATCACGCTGAATCGCTGAATAAATAAGTAATAAGCAGCAGATGAAAAGCTCAAGACACAAGATTAACATTTCCATACACATTACCATACGCATCATGCACCGCACCTGCATGGATTACATTTTGTACAACATATAGCAAGCGCCCGAGGCAAAACCAAAACACTCCTCCACCCACACACCCACACACACGCTTGACGTCATGCTAAATATGATAAGTGATACAAGCTCTACGGGTGCAGCAGGTCCCTCCGGCCACTTTATGCTAATTAATGCGGAGCAGCCCTCTGCAGAGTTGCTGGACTAATTATGGCTGGCTGTTGTATGTGACATGTGAGCTCAATGAACGTCTCACTCCCCGCTGACTGCCAGGACGTCCCCAGGTATAACCTCCTGCCACTGCGCTCAAACAGACAGAGTGTCCCCAGTCCCCGGGACATTTGTAAGTCAAACAGGGAAAAATAGTGTTAACATTGCTTGGATTAGAGGTGTACTTAACTGAGAACCTACTGTACAGGTGTTATGCCAAAGGTGATGCTTGAAAGGTGGAGTTTGTTCTGAAAGGAGTATAAAAGGCTACGTTTGTGGCCTTGGCAAAACGGAAAGAAAGAACCCAGAGGAATCTGCAGTGTGAATATATTTTAAATAATAACCTGTAGGCAAGAGTGGAAGAAAAACTGTTAAGATAAATAGCTTCCTCTCTGCAATCAACGAAGATGAATGTGTGATAAGGCATTCAACCCATTAGCTCCGATTAAAACGTATATGATGATGCATGGTACTTTTTAATGCAATCAACAAGCAAATGTTTAGAATGCATTAAATTACCCTGGTACTGTACATCTCTATACGCATGCGATTGCGTGAGTGTCCTTGAGAGAGCAAAACGTGTGTGCCTGTGTGTGTGTGAAGGGAGCATGTGGAGCCCTGGACCCCTCTGTAGAGCAGATGGCAGCACTTCTTCCGGCTAGATAAATACTTCACGTTGGGAAATCTGTCACTGGGACAGAGAAGGGCACGCTGCCAGAGAGCAGGGACAGGCCAAACACACCACAGCACAGCACGAGCACACGACTGCGATCACAGCCAAACACAGGGCGGTCAAATGTGTTTATCAATGTGATTCAGAAACAATTATTTGATCTCATTGAAGTACCAGTGATTAATTGTGTCGCACATTTAAAAAAAGTAAAGTAGGTACTTCAGGAGGAGAGATGATTGAAGAGTCACTACTGGAGTCAGTTCAGGTCAATTGTCTTTCAGTATAATGAGTATTAAAACGTGCAAATGTGATGGTAATGATATACTAAACAGGTTTTTAGATAACCAGCCTCTCCTGGCACCAAAGATTAGTATTTTTTTATTTGAAAAACAGAAACTCTGTTTAATAATTGCCTCTAGCGTGTTTGTTTGTTCTTGAAGTATTTCTTAAGTTTATTCAATTAGACGTTGGATCTGCAGGGCAGTTATAAAGGTTTTTCGTGAGCAGCGTTATGCAGGTTTATAATCTAATGATCTGTGAAGATTGTGCAGTGCTCACTGTCGCTGCTTGGAAAACACACCCGAGGTAGGGATATTTTACAAATCATTGGGAATGCTGTAGTACAACTCACATGTAGGGCAATGTCTAGAAGTGTTTGCCTGTTCCTCTTCTACAGAACCAGCTTACAAAGTGTTTCCCGGAGGCAGACACCTTCTCCACATCTAAGAGGAGGCTTAAGACTTTCTTTTTGATAAAGCTAGGGCTGGCTCAGGCTTGCCTTGAACCAGCCCCTAGTTACGCTGCTTTAGGCTTAGACTTTCTTCTCTCTTATCTTTCTCTTTATCTGTTTGAACTCATGTCCTCTCTATCTTCATCCACCCATGTCCCATAAATGCACGTTACTACCTCAGCATCTGCAGCATCATCCAGAGTTTGTGTGTCTCCCACCTGGCAGGTTGCCAGTATTAAAAGTAACTTCTGGATCATGAGTTGTTGCTGCGCCTGTTTCCGTGATCCTGCCTGCTCACATAATAATTATATATGTTTTGTATGTGGTTTGTCTACGTTGCAAATGTGTTATCATTCTTATTTATTCACATTCATTGTTGAAGGTGTTATCTTTAATCGTTAGATAGGAACAATATTTATAGGGGTGACCAGTGGCGGTTCTACGGGGTGGCACAGGGTGGCAGCTGCCACCTCAGAAAAATGCCTTGCCACCCTAGTTGCCACACTAAATGTAGGCAATTAATGTATTAATAATGTTTTTTTAAATGTTGATTATAAATGTTGGTGACATTTCTCCATAGTTCGTGTAAAATGTTTTACTCAACCGTTTAGAATTAACTCCCCCCCTTTGTTTTGAAAGAAAAGTTGTGGCTCATCCAACATTTATGAGAGAAAATATATAATGTCCGAGTGCAAGTGAACACAAGAGGCGAGTCTTATAACCCCTCCCCGGCCCTGGCGCGAGCGTGGAAATATGATAGGCGGCAATTTCATTTGAACGGGACGGCGGAAAACGAGAAGCATTCGGACCCAAGTAGATGGAAGGAATGAGGTATTTGCAGTCTACAATGACAGAGAAGAGACTGTCAAGTTTGGCTGTACTCAGCATTGAATCAAAACGCACTAAAGCTTTAGATCCTAATAAGTTCGTGAGGCCTTTTGCTGAACAAGATGGTAATCGCCGCATTCAGCTGTTATAGGCATGCCAACTTGATGCTCTGCTCACGGATGAGCATAACATTTAACGAAGCACTTTTATACTAATAAAGGACTGGCTTTTCTAAAGCCAGTTGAGTAGCACTTGAAATGTTTTTGCTCTATGAAACCTGATGTACTTTGATGATTCTGTTTTCTTCAAGTTGTATTTTGTTGGACGAACGCACTTATTGTAAGTCGCTTTGGATAAAAGCGTCAGCTAAATGCAATGTAATGTAATGTAATGTAATAAACAACTGTTAAGATGATGACCTTGTATGTGTGTATATATACAGTATATATATTTTTTTTTTTTGTGGGGGTCTGCCCCAAAAAACTGTTTTAAGTCCTGAGAAAGTCAAATAAGACGGTGTAAAACTACACTGCCCAGCCAACAGAAAGTAAACACTTTGATTTAACTAGGCCAGTAGATAAGGACTTTCCACTGGATAATAACTGCAGCGATGTATATGTTTTAGCTGAATACACGTTTTTTTAACACTAATTGATGCAGTTAGTCACTTCTTTAATGTTTGTTCTTTCTGATGTAAAGTCAAGGTTTTAACTGTTTGCAATAAAGTCGTGGGGCGCTGAACTGTTCCTTTGAATCTTTAGAATATGATAGTAATTACTTCAAATTTGAAGGAGGGTGAGCAAGCATCTTGAGTAACATCATTAAATCCTCCAAAAAATATAGTTTATTCAATAATAAATGAATATATGAATCATAACAGTGATTGACAGCTGATAGGAATAATATGATTGTTAATATTATCATATTCATACAGACAAACATCGATGAGACGGTTAATTAATGTACTTATTGCAGCAGTCTGCATAGATTTGGTACCCCTGCTGGTCTAAGAGTGAAACAAACTCATTCAGTTCAAATTAAAATCCACCTTATATATTTCTATTTAAGGCTTTACTGATGTGCCACAATAATGTCACCTATGTTATTGGCTTAAAATATTAATATTGTGGCTTTCCAAGTTAACATTGATTGATATGACTGCGATTAAATCAGCATATACTTCTGCCAGGGGATGCCACCCCTCAAAATCTCCTGCCACCCTCTTGCCACCCCATGAATATTTGTCTAGATCCACCCCTGGGGGTGATCCTGACTTTAACTCTTTCAAGTGGACCTATTATGCTATATTGGAAAAATATATTGTGGGGCCATAACTATAAAAAACATGTCTGCGAAGTTTTTTGCTTAAAATACCAAACAGTTCACCCATTGTAGCCATGCCTCATACTGCTCATACCCCTCTTTTGCAGCCCTGTTAGAGAAACGTGGATTTTGGGTCCTTAGCTTGAAAAAAAAAAAAAAAGAAGAGGAGTAGGCAGAGCTGCCTGATCAGAATTCTACCGGAGATAAAGTTAAATTCTGCTGTGATAAAACGCCATCCTGTTCTAAACCACATCAAGGATTATTTCTGAAACTGTATGGAGCTCAAATGCTTTTTCTCTTGCGGGTTTATCACAAGGTGAGTTCTTTTTTTATTTCCTGCTTTTTAAAAACACATGTGCTCTACAGTACAGGTTAGCTCTGAGTGTTAGCGAGGCTCTCTAATGTAAACAAAGACGAGATTACGTCCAAAACAGTCAGGCATTGTTTCTGATAGAAACTTTAGTGGGTCCGCTGCCGAGTTGATGTCATATCGGCAGCAAATCTGTATCCGCGCGTTGTAGCCCCGTTTTTAAAAGATTTGGGTATGGAGGAAAAGAGAGAGGGTTTTATTTTCTGACGCTGCGTGAGTTCCCCGATGCACAGGGGACACATACAAACACCGTGACGACCTCCTAACCTATCAGGCTCTCCTCTCCTCTTTCTCTGCTTCGATCTCTCAGGCAAAAAGCACTTTCTTTCAAGATAAGATCCAATCTTCCTATTCCAATCCCAAACAACTATTTTCCATCTTCTCCTCCCTCCTGGACCCCCCCCAAAGCCCCTTCCCCCTCCTCCCTTCTGTCAAGCGACTTTGTTAACCACTTTGAAAAAAAGGTTGATGATATTCGCTCTTCTCTTTCTGACTCACCTCTACTCACCGCTGGGTCACCAGACCCTCCTTTCACCCACACACTGACCTCCTTTTCCCCTCTCTCTCCAAGTGAGGTTCTTACCCTCATTACCTCTGCCCGCCCTACCACCTGTCCTCTGGACTCTATCCCTTCAAACCTCCTTCAGACTATCGCTCCTGATATTCTACCGTTTCTCACCCATTTCATCAACACTTCTCTAACTTCTGGTCACTTTCCAAACAGTCTCAAGGAGGCAAGAGTAAACCCTCTCCTAAAGAAACCCACTCTCAACCCGTCAGATGTTATAAACTACAGGCCTGTCTCTCTCCTCCCGTTCCTGTCTAAAACACTTGAACGCGCTGTCTTTAGACAACTCTCCTGCTATCTCCATCAGAACAACCTTCTGGATCCGCACCAGTCTGGTTTCAAGGCAGGTCACTCCACAGAAACTGCCCTCCTTGCTGTCACTGAGGAACTGCACACTGCTAAAGCAGCCTCCCTCTCCTCTGTCATCATCCTTTTGGACCTGTCTGCTGCATTCAACACGGTGAATCATCAGATCCTCCTTCGCACTCTCCAAGCACTTGGAGTTTCAGGCTCTGCACTTTCCCTCCTCACCTCATACCTCAAAGACCGCACCTACAGGGTTACTTGGAGAGGGTCCGAGTCCGACCCTTGTCAATTAACTACAGGGGTCCCTCAGGGCTCTGTTCTTGGTCCCCTCCTTTTCTACTTGTACACAAACTCGCTCGGATCAGTCATTAGCCCGCATGGTTTTTCATACCACTGCTACGCTGACGACACCCAATTAATTCTGTCCTTTCCCCGCTCAGAGACCCAGGTCGTCGCACGCATCTCTGCTTGTCTAGCTGACATCTCTCAGTGGATGTCTGATCATCACCTCAAGCTCAACCTTGACAAGACTGAACTGCTTTTCCTTCCGGGAAAAGATTGTCCCACTCTTGACCTAACAATCAACATTGGCACCTCTGTTGTTTCCCCGACTCAGACTGCAAGGAATCTGGGTGTGACCCTAGATAACAACCTGTCCTTCACTGCAAACATAGCTGCTACAACCCGCTGCTGCAGATACACGCTTTACAACATCAGGAGGATGCGTCCCCAGCTGACTCAGAAAGCGACGCAGGTTCTGGTCCAGGCTCTCGTCATCTCACGCCTAGACTACTGTAACTCCCTCCTGGCTGGTCTACCTGCATGTGCCATCCGACCTCTGCAGCTCATCCAGAATGTAGCTGGTCGTCTGGTCTTCAACCTTCCTAAATTCTCCCACACCACGCCGCTCCTCCGCTGCCTTCACTGGCTTCCGATAACTGCTAGAATCCACTTCAAGACAATGGTACTTGCGTACCATGCTGCGAATGGATCTGGCCCTTCCTACATCCAGGACATGGTTAAACCGTACACCCCAGCACGTGCACTCCGCTCTGCATCAACCAAACGGCTCGCTGCACCCTCGCTGCGAAGGGGACCCAAGTTCCCATCAGCAAAAACACGTGGGTTTGCTATCCTGGCTCCTAAATGGTGGAATGAGCTCCCCATTGACATCAGGACAGCAGATAGCTTACACACCTTCCGGCGCAGACTGAAAACTCATCTCTTTCGACTCCACTTCGAGCGATAGAACTATTAACAAAGCACTTATATACTAATAAAGGGCTGGCTTATCTAAAGCCAGTTGAGTAGCACTTGAAATGTTTTTGCTCTATGAGGCCTGATGTAGCCTACTTATATGATTCTGTTTTCTTCAAGTTTGTATTTTGTTGGTCGAACGCACTTATTGTAAGTCGCTTTGGATAAAAGCGTCAGCTAAATGCAATGTAATGTAATGTAATTTATGTATAAAAGACATCAAAAAGTGCATTTTGCATGATAGTTCCCCTTTAATACAGTTGTTGGTGCTTTCTAGGCCATAAAGAGGAAATAAAGTGATTCTTAGTAACTACAAAGAAAAACGAATGTGTACACATATTCATCAATTTAACGCATACTAATATAGAAACATAGTGCAAAGACAGACAATTTAGAAACAAAATAAATTGCCTAACTAATACTAGTTGCCTGGCAACTGTTCCAACGCCCCATGAAACAGCAGATTCAATTACAGATTAAACAAATGTGTTAGAGATATTAGGAGATGCTGCTGGGCAGGTTTTGTTTGCTTTTGAGAGAGTCAGGCAAGCTGTTTCCCAAAGTCTTCAGACTTTTTTCTAAGCTGAGCAAACAGGCTGTAGCCTTATTTTGGACACACGGATTTACAATTTAAATAACTGACCTCCTTATGGCCCCTCCAGTAAAATTGGTCAAAACAGCCGTACTGGCCACACAGATGTGTTGAAGATGTACTACGAATTAATTATTTAGTCATCGATTTTATCTTTTTTACAAACAATGACAATCTGCAAAGTCACTGCTTACTTAAGTTGTCAAATACATTTAGTCGATTTAACAATAAATGCCTCTAAAATCTACTGGAGTAGAGGTTAAAAGTATTATAAAATGGAAATACGTCAAGTAAAGAACAACTACAGAGAAATTCAAGTGCAGTACCTGAGTAAATGTGGATTAATATTCCATCACTGCTTCCTTACATCCAGGTGTGTCCTTGTTAACATACCTAAATGTGCATTTGTGTTCAACAGAGCAATACAAGTTTTCTGCTGCACTACGTTGGCTACTTGGTTTTTGTTCAAGCTCTCGTAAAGCACCAACACACACCAGCTGAAACCCCCCTTTCTCTATGTTTTCACTCTCTCTCTTTTACACACTTTCTTTCTACTGAAGGATTCTACTCGTAATCCCATTCTTGTAAATAAAATGGCAGGGAATATCCTCAGATAAACCTGAGAAGTGTTTGGAGAGGGTGAACATTTTGGTGTGTGTGTGTGTGTGTTTTTTTTACAGACTTCTAGCATTCCATTCCCTGGCACCCCGTTGCGTCCAGTCACTTTCAGAGTTTTTGGACACCACTCAGCAGTGTTGCTATGGCAACACCCCTTCTAAATGTATTGGTGGTGGGGGCTGGAGTACAGAATTAGGGGTAGGGTTGGACAAGTTTGGGGATATCTAGGTCAAATATGGTAACTTGCTTGTGCTCGTGCTATCTAAAATGTTTAACTACGAAACACAATTGCACTTTGGTTACCTAAACATGAAACGTCCTAATTGAGAAAGATCCTTTACTAGAACCTGATAATTAAATAATTTCCCTAAATGTAATAACACCTGAAAATGTAGTATAATCTGCACTTAACCTGATCAAAAAGGGGAGAAAGCCCAATAGTGTATACTGTATGTTCTAACTTTGTTCTATATGGTAATTGCTTATAACATTATACAATCGTTTTTTTTTTTTGCTAATTAAATTTGAAACCCTTTTTTAATGCAGAAATGTTACCAGATCAAACAAGGAAAAAGAGACACTATGCTAGCTTGTGCAAAATGAGTCATCTCCTGCAGAACTCATCCTCTTTTAATGATGTCTTATTAAAGATCCACTCTTGTCTAATGGAGCCAATTAATAGAGCGTTAAATGTGTTGCATTTTCTAGATAACCCTGTACCTCCTGCCATCTGTAGCACAATTTCACATTCCATTTCCAATTTCTAAACATAAAATCAGTCAAATATTGCACCCTTTGCAAATATAAAAATAAAACTTTTCATTTTACATTTTACTTCAAAATAATAACATCATATTTTTAAAGGAAAGAAAGACTCACCTGAAGTATGAACATATAACATCATTGGTAAAACTGTCATAGAAATATCCTTAAAATGATTTACATTGTATTTGTATTTGTACATATATTGTATGGTTTTATGATGTTTCCGTCTCGTTACAGTAGGTACAAGTTTTATAACAATCTCAGCAGTTATTAATTTCTTAAGAAAAAGCACTTAATTGATTGGGTGTTACACACCTTATTACAAGTAGGTATACAAGTAGTTGTTGACAGTTCCCTTTGTGTGTCTGTGTGTACATGTAAGCATTACAGTGTGCTTTTGTTTGTACTGACAGACATTTGATCCACTGACCTTTCTGTGCCAGAGATGCGTTAGGTTCATATTTGTCCACCAGCACCTGGACCTGCTCTTGTTTGAGAGGAGGGTAGAGGATCTCGTTCAGACGAGGGTCTCGCTGTTTATTGTTGATAAACTCTGTCATCTGCTCCACATTGAGGTACGGACGACTTTTAGCCCCCCTGTGAGAAGGGAAAAGGAATACATGAGTTGTGGGTCCACACAAATTGAGACGGCAAATAAAAATGGCGATACGAGAAACTTTAAAAGGGTAAGATGATGGAGGGAGGAGCGGTAATTAAAGCAGAAAGGAGATCTGGAAATGTAGAGCAACACAAGTGCAAAGGAGAAGAGAGGATTCAATCTTGTGTTGAGTAAATTATGAGATTTGATTAAAACGCCTTTCATATCTAAGCCTGTTCCATTAAATTATCATCTCCATATCCTCCCGGCTCTTATGCCATCTCCCTTAACTATGATTAAAACCTAGATTTATGTTTTGGAGTGGCCCCGGTCGTGCTGCCATGCTGCCTCGGCTGATGGTCTGAGTCCCTGGGAACAGGGCAACTCAGCACGAGTGGGCCCCCCCACCAGGGCCATCCTGGGCCATTACAACATACATTTCTGTGCTAATTAACATCTTATGAAGACTCTAATGGGTAAAAGCAGGTGTCCTAAATATGCAAAGCCATATTGCTTTTCAAGGATGGCAGCCATTGCTGTCAGTCTGAAACGAGAAACAGTTGACTTGGGAAAAATAAATGAAATGAATGAATCACTCACATTGTTTTAAGTTTACTTTTCTTTCTAACCTGGGATTAGTGTATTCTTTGGGGGTTGAAGAGATGATTGCTTCCTAAGAGACTTTTAAAAGGCAAATACACCAGAGGGAAACAATGTTCTTACACGTCAGAGAAGATGTGGTCCAGCTCGGTCCGTGGGCAGATGTTGCTCAGGAACATGTTGTAGACCTCTGGAGTGAAATCCTCCTGGGGGATGGAGTCATTTTGCTGCAGACAAGCAAAATTGGTTATTTTTTATATAAATATGTAGCATCTCTTGGTTCTATAATGATCTACTAGTACGGCTGCAATTCTATTTTCACTGGCTTCTAAGTAAAGGCAACAAAAATATGCACCCAATGGGGACCCGTAGAGTACGTAACAAATCATACTCTGAAACCAGGCACAGTAAAATGATCAGTGCCACAATAAGAAACCAAGAACTGATAGGCTATCAAATTGCCTTGAGCTAGCTACAAATGTTAGCTTGCAGAAGGTTGTCTACGAGCGGCGCATTTGATAACTAAATGGTGATGGGACAAGCTAATGTTAGCTACGGTAAGTGTTAGCAAGCTAATGTAGTTAACTTAGGCACTTGTAAACATAATACTGCACAGCTTTCTGATTTATCCACATTCCATTATGAAATATAGAGTTAGCATAAAACTGACATTTAGACAAAACTCCCTGCACCCTGAGTTTCTGAATCCCACAGTTGTCTCCTTCTACAGCTGATACCTCAACTCCTATAAGTTATAACCCCCATATGTATGGTCTTTCGTCTTCTTAAAGGCTTAGTTGTTCGCTTCAGCAGCTTGTAATGCCTTATTTCTGGGTTCTTTACCCCGTTGATAGTGCACCAGACCAAGCAGCAGCTAAAAGGCATTTTTTCTATTGCTAGCATACAAAAGTGACAAGAATGAATCTTCATGCAATAAAATGTCAAGGGCTGAATTGTTTCCCTCTTCAGTGTGGGCGGGACCTAATTGCACTTCTTCTCTATGCAATTTAATGATTCATTTTCAAAATCTCAGTTGATTTAGGGAGCTATTGTTAAAATGTTGCAAGTCAGTTTCACAACATTCGTCCCTGAACAAGATTAATCGTTCAAGTCAAATCCTGTGTTTAATCCTATGGGTTGCTTTATCGCTGACCTCTGTTCTCCCTGTGGAAGCCATTACACGCATATTAATTACAAATGCAAATCATTAACCGAAAAGGTCTGCCTGCAATTTGAACCGAGACTTTAACAAAAAAAGCTGTGGCCACAGGGTTAATTATAGAACTATCAGAGCCAAACGGGTCTGCTAAAGACACAGGGCAGGCACTAGCATTGTGCCGGTGAGAAACAGAGCAGAACTGAATACTGGGAGAAAAGAAGATGAGGGAGGATGCCGGGGAGGGGAGGGTGGGGGATGCAGGTCAAGCCTTCCCGAAACTCAATGAGTCATTCTAAAGACCTTGGTGTGCATGCGCTTGTGTATGTTAGTGTGTGTTCTAGGGATTAACAGCACCACCGTTTAGCTGTAATTACTCACGCGTTGGAACAACAGCAAATCCCAAAAGACCTTCATACGGCAACACGTTGGTCCCTCCTGCTCTGCTAATTATGTATAGCTTGTTCTGAGTGTGTGTGTCTGTGTTTGTATTTCTTGTGTGTGTATGCTTTCTGTTTGTATTCTGAAGCCATTCATTGCAGGTTGATATATGCACGTGCCCAAACATGTAAACAGAGGGTTTAAAGGGTTCCATGCTGCCGGTCCCCACAGTAATAGTGTACAATAACCAGTACAATTGCACTGTACTTAATTTTACATTCTGTCAAATTTGTGTCATATTGTGGCACAAATATTATTATTTTCCTCTTCTTGCACGGTTTTCCCTTGTTTTTACATCTTAATTATATTGTGTGTTATTCTGAGAATCCTGAGACTTCAGACTTTCATTGACAAACTACTCTGTACCTATTGCGCATACAATAAACACCTTACATATTGAATCTATTGCTTGAATACCGTGTTTGTGTGCCGTTTTGGGGACTGTTTTACACCCCTTTCTCTCCATTGATATCTGAGAGCGGTAAAGCTAAAACAGCTTTTGTCATCTCGATTGCTCCCAATGGGTTGTTTAATTACAACCAAGGCTAAATGAGTTGGGAAGTCATGCAGACATCCAGAAAATAACACTCCAAACAAATGAGCAAAGCAGCAATCAGCCGCTGTTTCAGGAGAATAGAGATGGAGCTGAGGAGAGAGGACACACTAATGGATGGATGGAGAAGATGAGAGAGCTTGGAGACTAAGATAAAACGGAGCGACACACAGCTTTGAGGGGATTCAGTATTTTGGTGCCTTACTCTGCCAGAAGGGAGGTTACAGTTTTCCAGGGCTGTCTCCACTCGCTTCCTGTCTGCTGAGAACATCCTGAAGATACTGTGGGACACACAAATACACCAGTATGAGTAATCGCAGAAAAGGCCACACAGAAAGGAGTTTTCGCTCTGATCCTCAGTGTCAAACGGATGAATTCATCACAGCTTTTATTGGATGCTTATTAAGGACATCCTGTAAAAAAGCTCTAGTGTGGCAGGAACATACAAAAGAAAAATAGGAGGATAAAAAACAGGAAATAAAAAGGCGAGAATATAACCACATAATTGCAAGGAGAGCTGACAAAAGTGAGACAAAGAGAATGCCAAGAGGGAAAATGGAACTGTAAATTATGCAGAAAGAGAACATCTGAATAGAGACAATGAGGGAAAAAATACAACGTATTCAGTCTAATGAAACAACCCTGAAAGAAAAGGCTATGTTAGTTTATGTTTTTAGATAGCTTCCTTTGCATTTAAGAGGCAGTAGTCTCTGGTTCTGCTGGGTTAGACCGTATTAGGGTGGCTGTGGCTGCGAGGAAGTGCGGTCGTCTTTCAACCAGAAGGTTGCGGGTTCGATCCCAGCCCGTGCAGCCAACATGTCGATGTATCCTTGGGCAAGATACTTAACCCTGAGTTGCTCCCGATGGCATGGCCAACGATGTGTGAATGTGTGTGAATGTAAGGTACACTGCTCTGTATGAATGGGTGAATGAGTATGTAAAGTGCTTTGAGGGGTCTTAAAGACTGGATAAAGCGCTATATAAATAAGTACAGTCCATTTACCATTTATTACACCAAGAGGTGATTTTAATATTTACAAAAGGTTAAACATGTTTACACATAAACTTTGAAAAGTACAGTAGTATTCCCTAAATTAACTCTTCCTATTCAAATGTAGACAGCACAATACAGAACACACGGATGTGGATGTTCCACTGTTTCAGCACCATATGTACATAAAGCGTGATATTGGTTGTGATCCTTTGTAAAACCATGAAACCACAGACATGTTTACAGAGATGAGCAGTTAAAATGATTGTGATTGTTGTTATAAAGTGACATTGCCATTTATTAAATAACATTACCATTTTCATCATCATTATCGTTATCATGCTACAGTTTCTTAGACAGTACTTGTGACTCCACACACAGATATGTTAACAGCTGGAAACAAGGCTTGCAGGTTCCACAGATTTTCCTTGACCAGTCTCATCAGTCATTTTGAGTGCAAAGAGACTTCTGTGCTTCTGAATGATTGGGCTAATCTGCTGTTTATTCTGTCATCCTTGTGAATACAGACAACAAATTAGATTTACTGCGAGGCTCTCCAGTGTCGTTAGAGCTACCGCTAGCTGTTGGGTCCTGTTTCCTTTGTCTGCCTGTTTTAATTACATGCAGAGTAGGGATGTGCTGTATATCTCCATCACTGAGGCGATGCGATGTGCATCTCGATATGTTGCCAACGATACATTAACGATACATTTGAAACACCAGGCGATACGCTTCACCCCTGTTGCGATACAGTTCGATACGATTCAGCATTATGCGATTCGGGGCGATACGATGTGATGCAAAATAATGATACTTCAATATGGTACGACAGAGGATTTTTGTTTTATTCCTTATATGCAGCAAATCATACATTAACAAAAAAGTGCTTTACATATTTGGTTCTCTCTACTAGTACTGCACATCCCATCATGCCGTTTCTTTTTTACCTTAAAAAACTCTCCAGAGGCTACAGTACAATTGTATAACACCTCACAGTTAAACAATTTAAGGATGCATTGCTCATGATTAACAATGTGCAAATAACAACTACCATAGTGCAATGCCCATACAGCCAGGGCCGCCTTAATGCACGGGCTGACCTGGGCTGAAGCCCAGGGGCCTACGGAGATCGGGGGCCTATCATGAGCCAATAAAAAAATAAAAAGATTTAAATTTAAAAAATATTTTTTTTATTTCGGATGTTTTTTTTACATTTTAAATAAACAAAGTTTTGGCTTTCAGAATATGACACTTTTATTTACAAAATCCCACGATAAATACATTTTTGAAGCTTGTAAAGGGAAGAAGACAGCTCTCCCTCGCCACTTTGCTGTTCCAAAGCGCCGCTTCCCCTCCCTCCGCTGAAATTATTAATGTAAGGTGTATAGTAATCATAGATAACACGGCAGGGTCAGTTACAGTTTGTTTTCATCTGATTTCAAATAAACAAAGTCTTGGCTTTCAGAATGTTAAACTTGTTTCGGCAAATTCAGATGATAAATACAACTTTGTAGCTTGTAACGGCATAATTACAAGCGGAGAACGGAGTAACTTGACATCATAGCAGGCATAACAACAGCCGGTGTTTCTCGTGAGGGTTTTCCCTGGGAAACAAACACAATACACACAAATGCAAAAATAGTATACACAAACACACACACTCGTGAGCTTCCAGTAATCCAAACGAAAATATCTTCCCTCCGTAGTATTTTGATCATTTGCTCCGCTAATCAATCAGATCGATGGATTCCAGAGATGTTTCTCAAAGATGATGACTCCGAAACAGTCAGCACCACTTAACAGCCAATCAGAATGAGAATATGTTTCACATGTGACTTATTCAAATTGCGAGTGATTGAGTGACAGATGAAGGTTGTTTAGGAGAAAAAGTTTGAGAAGAAAAAGTTTGAGAGTGGCGCTCGGAAAAGGAAATTGTTGAGGGAAAAGGAGTTTCGAGACAAGCAGCTATTACAAAACATGCCGAAGCTTACAGGTTATTTTAAACCTGTAGGCCAGGATGAGGAGGAAGGACAGATGAGTTCTGTACCGAGCGGCAGCGGTGCCGGCCGCGGGGCCTCGGAGCCAAGTAGGCCGTCTGGTTCTGATAGCGATGGGGTAGCGGGAGAGGAAAAACAGACAGGAGGGACATTATCTGTTGGAGGAGATGGAGAGGACGACCAGGACTTGCTACGTGAAGGGGAGCCAACGGCAACCGGACAAATACATGAGGGAGGCCCGATACGTCACTCATCTGGAGGAGAGGACCAGGCGCGCGTAGAGCAGAGTGGAGAAGTGCGATCACAGAGCCTGCCGAGGCTATAAATGACTTTGATTTGTTGTTTAAATAGGGGGCCTACAGGGCCTGATGGCAGGTTAAGGCGGGCTTGCATACAGCTGCTGCCTGATGTGCTTAACACTCATTCATAGGCTAACTCACCATTGAGCAGAAAGCAGTGGTTTCTATATGAACAATAACAAATACAAATAACCTTTCACAAACAGGTATTTCATAACTGCTTACAGTAAGGAAGACATGTAAACTATTATTGGCAGTCACAGGCTGCTGTAAACTAAACACCACTCTCTGACATAACACCTCACTGTACCTCATTCACACCAACGCAACTCCGGTTCAAGCTCCGTGCTAGAGCTTTTCAGGTTCAGAACCGGTTCTTCGGTTTAGCGGAGGCTCTTTTCACACCGCCCAGAGTCCGACTGGTGCTGCGTCATTGCGTCATCGTTTGCGTCATGACGTAACCGTTTGCGTGCCTGTTTCATAAAGCCAAACCGCGGGAAACCCCTCACAGCTGACACCGACAACAACAACAATGGCCGATTGTGCTCCAGCTTCCTCTGTACCTCTTCGGAGGACCAGATTCCCAGTAGGTAGCTGGTCTCTTCAGTGGACCACTGCTGCTTGTTAAGTTTCTCCATCGTTGTGTACAAGCTGGATAAAACGCGGGCTTCTTGTTGTTGTTCAGGAGTTGATCCCGCCCCTGCCTCGACGTAAGCGTGACGTATGTGGTGCTTTTGCTCTGGCCGGACAATTTTTTGGTGCTTGAAACGAACCGGATTCCGGAGCTAAGAGGCTGCTCCGCGGTGTGAACAGGAAAACCCGGTGCTTTTCAAGCTGCAGCTCCGAACTGGCCCCGAAACACCGTTGGTGTGAATGAGGTATGATGAGTGAGTTAACTCATATGTCTAACTTTCAGGTTTCTCTTTTCAGCCGCAGACCCCATGTCGCCTCTTTATGTGCGTCGATAAGTTCCGCGTACTACTTGTGTACTTTAAAGCGGCTCGGCATCGTTTACAATTTGCGAGCGATTTTTCAAGTTGTCCATATTTCTTGAAAAATCCGAAGTGTTGCTAAACGTTTGATTTGTAGATATTTTTCGGTGCGCTGTGCTTCTCTTTCCCCTCGAAGCATGTGTGTTGATAACTGAGGCTCTCGGCCTCCGTAGTGCGAAGCAAAGATCAAAGATGGTCTCTGCTGAGAGCTGACAGGATGAGGGGATATTATATGAATGAATCGGTTTTTGTACCGATGCAAAGACGCTACAATCGATGCATCGCGAGTTCAACCCAAACTGTAGCCGATGTGCACTCTTTCAACCGGTGCACTTGCATCTTGAACGTTTATGCCGGTGCACCGATGCGAATCGGTGAATCTTAACATCCCTAATGCAGAAGCAGTGGCGGCGCCAGAGATTTTCTCTAGGGGGTGCTGTGGGGTAGCTTGACGTTTCATAGAGGGTGCTCAAACATTAAGGGTTTTCCATTAATGCACCAGCGCTACAGTTGAATTTTCTACTACAACACTCCCCACACGCACACACAGTGTACCCGCGACTGTTACAATGAAGGCTCGATAATCAGCCTAGGTGTAAGCAGGGGTAAAGTGCTATTTTTACAAGTGGGGAGTGGGCCTCACCTCCTCTAGGAGGGTCCTCACCCCCTCTAGTGGGGTCCCCCGGGAAGATTTTTTTTAAATATTGAAGTTAAAAGCATCAATCTGGTGCACTTTGAAAGCAACATTAAGAGATCTATGGATACATCTCTCAACACCCATATGAAACAGAACTGTAAACAGATTTTCTATTTCTTTATAGATATTTTACAAATCACTCCCCTTTTAAAACAAACCGTTTTAGACCCACTGAGATAACTAGACTAAAGTTAACTATCTAAACACTGAGAGTCCTTTACTTCACCTGAGCTGAGGTTATCTGAGACTCTCAGTCTGACAGGAGAGAGTTCTCCCTCCACCTTGTTGTTGAAAAAGCTCCTTATATCCGTTAGCTTGGCTAGCTGGCACCAGATGCTAACCACAACGATCTCCGGTAGATACCCACCGGTGCGCGAGCTCTCTCTCGCTCGCTTGCGCACGCACACAAAATGGCTCGTGCCACACACACATAGAGCAGAGCTTGAATGAAACAGACCCAGAAGTAAGCTACTTGTACTCACGAGGCCTATTATGTGCAGAATCCCTCTCGCTTTCAGGTGGTTTTGATTGAGTGTCCACATGTGGACGTTTAAGGACTAAAAAACGATCCATTTGTCACTTTGCTGTTAGCAAATAATTTGGGGCTCCAGCTAACAGGAAGTCACTCAAGTGTCACAAAGTAATTTAGCCTATGGGTAGGTCAAAAATCTAATGGGTGCTGGCCATTGGCCTAATCATATCACCTGTGTTGGCTTTATGTTTTTGGTCAAATATTTGTTTGTTTCACATTTGCATTAAAAAAGAAAGTTTGGGGCTCTCTGCTGGAACTGCAACCCCCGCGACCCGACCACGGATAAGTGGGAGAAGATGGATGGATGGACATTTGCATTGATGTAATCAATAATCTTTCTGATTTAATTTAATAAAAATAATAATAATTTTCGAAAAAGAAAAAAAAAAAAAAACACATATTTCTTGGGGGTGCTTTGGCTCCCCCTGGGGCCGCCCCTGTGCAGAGGTATTCCAGCGCAGATCCACGGGTACGTATTTGTACGCCCAGTGGGAGAGCAGAGTCAAGCTGACATTAGTCAAGCTGACATGTCCTCCCAGCTAGGAGGTTAATTCCCAAAACGGCAGGCAGTGTCTCTGTGTTGACACCCACTGCTCTCCTCCGCGGCTCTGAGGGAGGTTATCGCAGTGGTACCCTGGTGCCTGCCTGCACGCTGAACTCGGCTAATGGAGATGCAGCAAGTCCTCACTTCCAATGAGGTGATGACAAACTCCCAGATAATTCATGAAAGGGAAATTCTCACACACATCACACATTTGTCAGATTTTGAGCTGGAGATAGTGAAAAGTATAAATGGCGCTTTCCCGAGGCATGCTACCTCATACTCACGAACATGAAAAAAAAGAAAATCTCACAATTGCAGCAAATGCAGTGGCACTTACAATGGTTTGACTAATTGCTAGCTAATGTAATCTAGTAATTACATTGTAATCCCTGTAATGATGCTGTATGATGTCCTTTTTGTTGTTCTGTTGTTTTATGTTTGTAAGTTTCATGTGGAACCTACTTGAGCAGGTCTCTCTTGAAAAAGAGATCAATGATCTCAAGGGATACACCTAGGTAAATAAAGGCTTGAAATGAATGTGCTTGCAGGATTATTTAGTTTAGTTTGTATCCTCAAGGTTGAATGCATATCAGATAAAACTGCTAAATGAAATGTCACATAAACAAATGAATGAAACATAATGCACATCCTAATAAGGTTGGCTCTTTACAGATAGAGAGAGAAACAGTGATAGTAATAGACTGATAACTTTTGAAAGAACATCCATAACATTCATCGGTTTGCAATTTACACTGAACAAAAATATAAACGCAACACTTTTGTTTTTGCTCCCATTTTTCATGAGATGAACTCAAAGATCTAAAACATTTTCTATATACACAAAATAACCATTTCTCTCAAATATTGTTCACAAATCTGAAAAAATCTGTGATAGTGAGCACTTCTCCTTTGCCGAGATAATCCATCCCACCTCACAGGTGTGGCATATCAAGATGCTGATTAGACATTAGATACTAAACCAGTGTGAATCTGGTGTGAGGGGTAGGATTAGTGTTAGGGGTAGGGTTAGGGTAATGTTGTGAATTGAGTGGCCTGTGTTCGTCGTCCATAACATACGCCTGCCCATACCATAACCCCACCACCACCATGGGCCACTCAATTCACAACATTACCCTAACCCTAACCCTACCACTCACACCAGATACTGACTGGTTTTCGGACCCCCCCAGACCCCCCCAATAAAGCAAAACTGCACGTTTCAGAGTGGCCTTTTATTGTGGCCAGCCTAAGGCACACCTGTGCAATAATCATGCTGTCTAATCAGCATCTTGATATGCCACACCTGTGAGGTGGGATGGATTATCTCGGCAAAGGAGAAGTGCTCACTATCACAGATTTTTTCAGATTTGTGAACAATATTTGAGAGAAATGGTTATTTTGTGTATATAGAAAATGTTTTAGATCTTTGAGTTCATCTCATGAAAAATGGGAGCAAAAACAAAAGTGTTGCGTTTATATTTTTGTTCAGTGTATATATATCAATATTCCAATTACTTGTATATAGACTATTCTTGCACTATTTCTATTATATTCTTTTTTATTTGTATTTTTTTACTTGCACTATTTTATTGTTTTGCACCATTTTATTGTGTTGCACTGTTGGAGGAGCCTGTGACCTAAGATTGTCATTGTCATAACTACACTGTAGCTACTGTATATGTACAAATGACGATAAAAGCCTTGAATCTTGATTAGAAATATTGTACACAATTTTACCGCAGAGCTAAAGTCATGGGGAGAACAATGGAGTATTGTGATGACAAATGGTATTGTATTGTAATAAATGCACACCGGGAATGTGTGTATACTAAGGCGTATACATGCTGCTAGTAACAAGAGAAGGCAGAGGAAGCTACACATTGATCAAAAGAGTGGAGAGGTGGCAGGGGAGAGGAGGATGAGTCAGAGAGACTTACTTCTTGACGGGGATGCGCCCCTCAGGGTTCAGCTGCAGCTTCATCCGAGTGTATCTGCATTGGACAGAACACAAACCTTACACAACATGAAATCAGCAGTCTGTCTGTATGAGTAATGTACATTTTTTCTGAGTGTGTGCTTTCTTGGGATGCATTTTTGTATATAATTGCCTGCCTATAAGGGATTATGCAAATGTACAGTACATGCAGAATTGTGTCTCTATAATGCTGAGCAAGCGGTTGATTGATGTGAAGAGTTCTTAGTGCACACCATGAATATTTTGCCATGTGTACACAACTTGTGGATAATCCCTGGAAGTCTTGCAAAGAGCCATGCAGCAGCAACACAGGCAGCGCAGCCCGGGCTATAAATAGCTGCGCTCCAACAGGAGCCATCATTCCAGGCTGGGCATTAAGTGGCTGCTGGCTAATAATTAATATCCATTACAGTGTCCAATTCACAGGGTGCCAAAGGCAAAGTCACAGATGACTGTAATGGTTAACGTGGCTAACATGGAATTTCTTCTCTAAAGTAAAGGGGGAAAAAAGGAAAATGTTTGCTTGTTGACAGGGGATGGCACTAAAGGTTCAGGATTAAGGAAAGAAGGAGGGAGCAGCTAGGTGCTTCTCTTACAACTGCCTCTATTATTTATCAAGACGGAACAACAGATAACTGTCTCAGTTTTTGGTTTTACACACCACTTTCTCTTCTCTCTCTGTCTGCTTTCAGACTCCATACTATCCCATTCCAGGTAATGCTGACAAATGAGATAATGAGCACCAGGGAACAGACGTGGAAAATGCCCAACCAATCGGCATACACAAGAGCAAGACACAGACTTTTTAGATGTTTAGCCCCTCAATTTGATTTGTGTCTCTTTGTAGTTGCTCTCTATTTCTGTATGTATTCAATTTGTGTTTTCTCCTTTTTAATAATCATACGTGTCTCTTTGTTTGTCTATGCAGATGTTTCATATCAGATTGTATCTGTTTCTGTCTCATTGTATTCTTTTGCTGTCACTTTGTCTTTGTAGTCCTTTTGTGACTTTTTGTAGTCTTTTTGTGTTTTCTTTGTAGTTGTTTCTGTGTCTTTGTAGTCTTTTGTGTCTCTTTGGTATTGTTACTGTCATATTGTTGTCTTTTTGGGTCTCTTGTACTTTGTCTATATTTCTTTGTTACCATTTTAAGTCTTTACCTGGTTGGTAAGTGTCCTTTGATTGACATGTTGTAAAGGAAAGGCATGGGGGACCTGACACATGCCAAGTAGGCCTGTTTAGTAAACTAAAACTAACCAAGCATATACTGGTTATACATGTTATCCCATTGCAAAACATGCAATTCTAACACTAACCATGGTCCAAACTGAAATAATCCAGGTTTATTGTAGATCTCAATAGACCATCTTGAAGAAGTCAATCAAAAACACTTGCTGGGAACATTACCCGTATATGCTGGCCTCTCAAAAAATGTATCGCAGCTTAAAGAGCTATAAAATAGAATTGACCACATGCAAAGGAACATCAACGTGGCCTCATGCAGTAGTAATACGAAAGAGAATTGTCTTATTTGTAGAGAAGCAGAGCACGACAAATGCTGCTGCAAGCAAACCAGCGTGACTGTGAAACCCGCTCTATTCAATTCTATTCAGCAATCTCTGTATACTATGTGGTCGATGACCACTTTTATTGTCTCATAAGTCAATTACACTCCTCGGGGGTGAGAGTTAATGGGTTCTGTTTACTGATAAACATCAGACAGCTGGGAGTTGTCACCTAGCAGAGCCAGGCATACTCTCTCAATACAACGCAGCAGATTCATAGTTTAGCTTCACTACGTCACTCACTGCACACATTAATCAGCTGTGAACCATAGATCAGTGTGTGTGTGTGTGTGTGTGTGTGTGTGTGTGTGTGTGTGTGTGTGTGTGTGTGTGTGTGTGTGTGTGTGTGTGTGTGTGTGTGTGTGTGTGTTCCAATCTGATCAATAGTGTGGTGCTATTAGCCGTAAGACACCATTATTACACAGGATCTGAGGATATTCGAGGGCGATTGACGATAACTGTCTCCCCAGACTAAGAGCCAACGATGAGGTCTTGGGCTGATTTATGCAACCAGCTTTACCCAAAACAATGGTGACTCCTTCTTAGCATTTTGACCCCACCTTAATTTCAGGTCAACAATTCTCTTGTTGAAGGATCTACTGAGACGTCATTGTCAAAAATGCAACAGGAATATAGGCTACAGCACCATATAAAGTCACGCACTTACATGCTGTCACACATTGACACACTGAGAGGCACATAAGCCGCCGGAGATGCACAGAGTCGGGTTCATGAACCGAAACATATTTCCAGCTGTTTTATTTATCCTCCTTCTTCCTTCCTGTCTGTTTTCTCTCTGCAACGATGTGAGGTGAAATGACCTTTACAAACTCAAACCCTCGAGCTGCCTTGTGGAGCTGTGAAAAGCTACCTCCTGTGTGTGTATGTGTGTGTGTGTGTATGTATGTATGTGTGTGTGTGTGTGTGTGTGTGTGTGTGTGTAGTACAGCCCCATATGTACCTCAGTGTATGCATAAAGCTTCCTGTGTGTGTGCTTCTGGATTTTATGAGGCGGTTATGTGAACGCAAGAAACATCTTTTTGCATGCATTTCAAAGTAAACACTTATTGTGTATAGTGTGGGAGCATGTGTCTTGAATAACAGTCAATCATATGTTTTATTTTACATAAGAGGCCTCATTTGCTTCCTCCTGTTCTTTCTGTTTATGTAAAACACAGTACATACCTGGTGTGGCGCTTGGGATAACTGGCATTTTTCTGTTTCCAGCAGACCTGATTTTCATATTTATCTTGGGGATTTACATTTTTTGTATGACTGCTTGGTGTGTTTGTGTGTGTGTCGTTTGCATGTTTGTGTGGATGACATACACTTTCTCAAGGCAGTCCTCCCTGGACATATTCTGTACAAAGAGGTTGGATGCCAGGTTGAACAGCTCTTCCGCCCATTCCTGAAGTGAATAACAAATACGGATACAGAGTCAGGCACAAACCATAGTGCTGAGGGTTGAAATCATAGACTGTAGAAAAAAGTGGACCCCTGGAAGTCTGATTGTATAGAAGGCTATAAGAACATGTCCTTACTTCTCACTTGATATTTCACCTCAGTTAAGATTTGCCTAATGAGTTTATGGTCTCAATCATTTGTTTAAAGTGTTCTCCAATACAGGATGATGGTTCATTTTGTAAATCATGATCCTTTTTACAACCAAATAGACAATAAAGCAGATCTCAGCGTAGCTGCATTGTGATTGACAAGCGGGCTTGTAGCAATGTGTTTCACCAACCAATGGGTGAAGTGTCACGCTGACTGCTTTAACTTATTTTATATGATATGGTCAAAATTAATACAAACATGAGTTTGAACAGGGGAATATGCTGTTAATGTTTGTTTAAATTCCAAAAATAAACTTAATATATATTTGTTGTTTAATTTACTGAGAGATCTCAACCCTGAAGATACACTCCATGTAGTTAACCCAACAGAGAAATGGTTCCATTATTAAAACACCTCAGAACTGAAAGTGAAATAATGTTGTTTAATGCAATATATCCTAAACATTGATCCCACATACAGTAATGGGACAGTTATCATTATAATTGTATCGTTGTTCTTTATTTACCTTGGCCGTATCCTCCGTGAAGGCCATGAAGTTCAGGTAGGTGATGTTGACCATGTCAGGGCCGCTCACCACCGTCAGCATCCTGTTCTCCATCTTCCCCGCCAGTGTGCTGACATCCAGTAGCTCACGCAGCTTGGTTTCCTGAACAATGACACACAAATGATACAAAAAATGAGTCATGGCTTTTACAGAATGGAGTAAACTAATCAAAGGCATCAAGTGAAAGGTGCATTTACTTTTCTAAATCTTTCCCAGTCATGTCATGCCAGCTTCTAACCACAGCTTCATACACACTGAAAACCACCTCAAATGGACTACAGTTGAACCAAATCTATATCTAAAGCCTAGCAGCACAAACAAAACCTCCATCGATTGAAAGGAAATCAAATTAAACAGGCCACAGGTGGAACAAAATACAAGGTATACCTTTTCCAAAGAAGTGAGAGACAGAACTACTCTGTGTCACGATTTAATAAAACTAAAATTGCCCCTCCAAAAGCACTGAACTGAAACAAGACCTTTCAGTATTTGGGAGTTTGCACCATGTCTTGGCAGCTGATTTATGTGACTAATGAGAGGTCAGTTGTGAGAGGCGTGTGGGGAGCGAGGTGAGACACCGCAGCCCCAGTAGATCTCAAAGTGACTCTCATATCACAGGCAAACAAGGTGGGTTAAGCAGAGCTATGATGTGGCACATTTCAAGTGTAAACTAATTAAAAGGAGCTGAAAGTATTGAACTGATATTGAAAGAATGACACTGGTGAACTTGCCGGTACCATGTGTAGAGGTATAATGTTTTAAAGCAGAATTTATTAGACGCTTTTCATGTTTTTGCAAGGGCTAATAACGCTTTTACATAGGGACTAACATTCAACCACAATCATACCGAGGCAGATGCTCAAGAGAACTAACATTCACAAACATTCATAAACAATTGGCCATGGCATTGGGATGAATTTAGGTTAAAGTATCTTGCCCAAGAACACATGGGCCCAATTCCAATCCACCCCCTACACACTACCCCTCCGTTTGCACATTAGCGCGGAGGGTCCGCCACATTAAGTGCTGTTTCAAACCAACAAGTGTGGAGGGGGAGTGGGTTATCAAGCCCTCAAACAGCGAGTCTGCATTGGTGCTGACTTCACCTGCTGCCCTACCTGACCGGACTCAAGAGCTTAACAAAAAGCTTAATGTGACGGGGTTCAATTCGTCCATTCGATACATGGCTTAGTCGGTTGTTTAAGCTCCAAACAAACTTTATTTATATCAGCAACAACAATAAAATAGCGAACCAGCACAAGTTAGACAACAAAATAAAATCCACAAACAGGCCGTCCATCACTCATTAGAGTAAACATGCTCTGGTTTGCCTTCTCTGCAACCAACTCCCAAACATGTCCCAACTGTTACCTTCATTGCAACATTCTTCCGAGTGACACAGTCCGAAAAAAAACCGTCCCTTATGAGCCCATAGCCCCTCCCACAGGCTTACCGTCAACAGGTGACACAATTAGCTCAAAACCACATTTCAACATAAAAATCCGACCCAAACATAAAACAGGTTAACCACCTCTTAATACAATCATTCCCCATAATTAACAAAAGTAAAAATAAATAAGAAATTGCATGGTTCATTTGACGGAAGAGAGCAGGAAATGTTTGGTGTGTCGGCTGTCAGTGGCGGAGTCAGTCACTCTGTGACCCGCTCCGTCACACTTAACAATTAAAGATGTTTGGAGTTTTATTTTAGTTATTAATTTAAATTTTTTGTCCAAGGGATGCTGATTTGAAAGCATTGTTACATACAGTTACGGGAGAGAGGGGGAGTTTGTCCCAAAGCTTGCCGCTGTATTTACACCCTCCATCTGACAGGAGGGAGCCTCGTTTAGCTGCGAGTGTCACTCCGTCACGGAGGGGTAGGTTGTAGGGCGTGGTTTGGAATTGGGCCATGGACATGTTGACTGCCTGCGCTGGATATTGAACTACAAACCTTCCTATTGGTGGACCATCAATCTGCCGCCCGTATGATGTTATTTTCTATCAACGACCCCATGATAACTCTCCAAATTCAGAGTGCTTAATGGTATTCAAACTTTGATAACCCTAACCCTTGTTTCAGGGCTTAACAAAACCTCCTCTTGTTTATCTTACTTTCAATCAGACAGTGGAAGATGGTAAGAACAGCAGCCAATGCTCAGCACAGCCTCGTGACCAAGAATAATCTGTATTCACTTAGCTGAAGAGATCCCATGAGGACGCTGTATTTGTTCAGATAAGTTTTAGTGCTAATTCATGGAGGAAATCATCTCAACCTCGAGCGCTGCAATTTTCAGATTTAATACAACTTTAATTCCCTGCGACCTTCATCATCCAGCAAACAGCAGCAGGTTAAATGAGCCTGTTGAAAAACGTCTGTTGTCTGTTGTAACACAACATTGGGTGCTGGCAACAGTTCAGTACTCAGAGAAAAACTCTGAAGGATTTGTATTCCGCAGAGGCAACTGTCTGAGAAAAACTAAACTAATTTCAGCAAATATACATTTAAGCAGCTCATCTTTAGTGTGAATCATATAAAAACAAAACAACAATGCCTCTGAGGTACAAGAGAGGAATAGCAATGATCTTTTTCTCTCTTTCGCAGCACAGTGCACAAGATACAAAATGGAGGCTCTGGCTTAATTAACACAACAAAAAAGCTCTGTAAAGGATTTTGCAGTGAAAGCAAATGAGCTCCCACACATTTAACAAATCAAACAAAGAGTATTGTGTCACGCTGATAAATGTCCTCTACACGTCCCCCAATCAAATTGTGCGGCTTAGTGGCACCCATTATTATCATGCTGAACTTTTCTGACGTAATACATTTTCTTTATTTAAGAAAGTCTCCCCTCAAACTTTGTCTGACTGCATCTCATAGAATAATTGTTGGTTGTATATGGCTGCATGGAGAGCTACATTACTGCACACTCTAAACAAGTCTACTACTCTGACAGACGTTTAATAAATGTTCTTCACTTTTAATGTGTCTGTGTTTATCATGTCTTACCTAATTTAAACCAATGTTTAGACTTATGAAGTTATTGTTTTTGGGACCTTTTAGAAGTTAGGGTTGGATACATTTGGTAAGTGTTAAGCTTGGGATGAATCTCTATAATACATGAAGTCTCTCCAATTTTATACATTTGTCAAATCAATATTGGATTACTTCAATTGAATTAGCTCAAAAAACTGTTTCCGAGTGTTTTCTGATTAGCAGACATTTAGAGTTACATGACTCCATCCATGACCACTAATCAATGGAAGACAAAGTGCCGATTTAAACTTGCATCCATCACTGTCCACTTATGAAATCTGAAAGCCACCAGCCCATCAATCAAAGCATAAAAAGCCACTTTCAATTTCCTAAAACACACAATGCAATGCAACCCTTTGAGGGATGCTTTGGCAGACTGCCACAGATCAAAGGCTTCTGAGAACAGTCAAGACGACAGTAAGATGCATATTTCATATTTTACAGCGCTTGAATGTCAATACAATTTGATATTGTTTTGACGCTACTTGTAGCCATTAGCTCAACATGCAGCTCATCTCCTTGTACGTCGCAGTCAGCAGAAGACTGATCTGGGAGCTGCAGGCACTCACAACACATCAACTGGAGATTCATCAGCAGTTATGTTGGGGAAGGACTCAGTGGGAGAAAAACGAGCTGATGTCGGGGGAAGGAGGGGGGGCGTAGGAGGAGGAAGAAAAATGAAGAGAAAGAGGGACAAAGCCAAGAGGAGAGAAGAACGGATGAGGGGGCCCAGCCATGTGAGTGAAATGTAATTTGTGCTGGTGCATTGTGGGAGCCATTGGGGGCATGCCTGAGGACCCTGTCACCACAAAGGTGGAAGATTTACAGCCAAACAGGCTATGGGTGGGAGTTGGATGGGTTTTTGGATGAAGCAAGAGGACACTTCACAGTCTTTGACCACTGATGTGAATGCCTTCTCCATTTAGAGTGTATGCGTGTGAATATGTGTGTGTTTATTCAGGCATACATGGTGCATGTTAGCAGATGCGGTGCCAGCACTGGAGCTCTTCTCAGTCACTTACGTAACGTCCACACGGTTCCGTTGCATGCTTCAACGGAGACACTTCCCATTCCCTTTGAATGGGGTGAACTGCATTGTGGTTCCATCGCGTCGCTTTGCCTCTGTTGCTCGCTTCGAAAGTTGAGAAAAGTTCAACTTTTCAAGCGTCGACGGAAGCGCCAGCCAATCAAATCATATGCCAGTACAAGCGCTAACCAATCAAACGCGACAGAACCGTGTGGATGTACCATTAGTATTCAGGTGGAGTGGCAGCCTGAGGAAATAACAACACTTCTTCTTCCTACCTTAGTTTGTCACAAGGCCCTAACTGTCACCAGCCATGCATTAAACCGTGTCACACTCGCGCCGGGGGAATAGATCCACATCGGCAGAGGGAAGCCAACCTCACCTCAAGCCATTAAACCTGCAGCATGGCACCTGTCCAAACACACACACTAACATAAAGTAGAGCTCACATGCATTCAACTCGAGTTGTAATAAATCCAGACACACAAATGCACACACTTTCAACTCATGATATTAGAGAATTGATCATCTCTGCATCATATTTATCGTTATCATTGAAAAATATATTAAATGATTATGGTTTTATCTTTTCAAGAGGATCTGTACCAAAGATATTTGTTGCTTAGTCTGTAGAATTTGATTTGTAGGCCGAGATATCCCTGCAACATCATATCAAAGGAAATGTCGATATGAATGATTGATGATGGCCTATCCACCTACACACATGCCACTCAATACTTGCCTTCAATGTGTGAAGTGCGCCACAGATGTGATGCCAAATGTTAAAAACTTAAGTCAGCCCCACAGAGATTCACTTCAAAATTATGCTTGAGGAACAGATGCGCTTGTAGGGCAACTTTTTTTTTTCTTTTTTGAAGTGTTTGCCGTAAAGAAAAAATGCCGGGGCTGTTTGAAATAATTGATTAGACGTCGAGGACAGCTGCTTTAAACAGTGCCTTGTTCAAAGAAGGTGCTGCTGGTGTACAAATTGATCTTACAGTATCTTCAGAGCTACTTCATGTACCAACTCTCACTATACAT